TCACGCTATTAGTAAAACAAATAACTCGAAATTTTTAATCAGATATTTCCTCAGGAAATCTATAATAATTTGTGCTGGCAACAATAATCATAATTGAAAACACACCACTTGAAAGGCGGTAGCCGAAATAGATTTTTACGTTTTTTATCCGCTGGTGTCGTCAAACTTCGGGTTTACGACGTGTGTTTATCTATAAGTGATTTTAGGGTAAGTGCTTGTCAATGTAGTCCTGTGTCAGGAGATTTCTCATATTGGGGATCCCTGATTCCTTAAAACATCGATGTGACGAGACCAGGTTCTGCTGAGTAAAGACGTAGAAAGTTTTTACTATTGGTTATATTTATAAAATAAATAGACATTGAATGAGTATCTACTTAAGATCATTTTTAACATACTTATTACAATAGATAAATAATCCGTTTATAAATACAAAGTACATACAACTTCAACTAAAATAAATCTACAATGAAAAGATTGATAAAAATTTACAAATTTTAAACTTTGCTAAAAGGATTCGGGTTGTGCTCAGCACGCCTAAGCGATCCGTTTTTGAAGAAAAAGAAAAAAGAAAGAAATTTATTGACTACTAAGACACACAAAAACATTTAATTTATTACTAAAAGATAAAAACAAAACATAATTTAATCTTAACAGTGTAACTTAACATTAACAGGATTAGATAATGTTGTGTGCTGCTAGTAGAATAGGATCTTACTCCGTTTATATCAGGCCCTTTGTTGACCTGAAACTGATTTTCAGTAAGTCCTTGGAGTTTTTCGTCAGATAACAAGTGTAGCTTGCTTGTTATCAACAATTTAAAGAATGTAGAAAACTGTGGAACGAAAACGTTTATATTATGACGTATATCTTAGTAGTATAGAACTATTGCATAAACAAAGAAAAGTAAAGATAATATAAAATGTTAATAATTTAAGATACTGTCTGTAGTTTACGCGAGTAGTACACATTTAAATAAAACACTTTAACGGGTTAAGACTACTGCTAATTCATACATTATTTTATCTTAATACAAGACTATGACTTCTAGAATATCACTGTTATCTACGGAACCGCACAATATGTGGAATAATTCCTTAGTGTCCTACACAACAGTCTCCCGGGAGTTGATAGGTGAGAAGCTTTTTGACACTCGATAAGCTAAAAACCACATTTCCAGATACAGTTTTAACGCGTTAATTAGCATTACTTTAAAAAAATACGCGTTTTTGCCAGAATTTTTGTCACCGGAAGAAAAAAACTGATACGCAAGACATAAGAGTATATACCTCATCAAAGTTTTATTATTTTAGAAACTTAAGTCTATTAATTAAACTATAAGTTTGAGTAATATCTGTAGTTGACAAGAATAGTACAAATAAAATAGTACATTATGATACAAATATAATATTTGTTTTGTTTTGTTACATTATGATATATATATGAGGCGATATTACTATAAGAGAGCTATAAGAAAGCAGACGCTGTAATTTTCAAAGCGCACGTATGTCATACGACGTTTTATAACATATTTACGAGGAAATGACGACGTTTGGACGAATGGGGGTAATATGCGACAAGGGAAAGCATTACTGCTAGCACTCCCGCACGCGCACACGAATCTGTTAAAGTATGCACCGGTGATAAGAGCTATTACTATATTGAATGAGGTCGCAATAAAAACGGATTTATTTTGTTGCACGTTGGCTGAGTTCGCAAGGTTAGCAACATGGATAATCTCATTTGAAAGTCGATAGGTAAATACTGTGATTATATTCCTCAACAGTTTTCAAATAAAAACAATACAGTGAAAAGAAAAAGCGCGCGGAATCAATTTTACTTGTCCACAAATAAGCAATGAGCGCGCATTAACTTTTTTTTTTTAGTCAAAGGTACAAAAACAGCCAGTATTACTAATAAAGTAAATCAATATTTTTGTGTGTTTGTTATAGATAAATGGTTGTTAATTTATTGTCAAAATTAATTTAATTAAAGAATTAAATGTTTATTTGTTATATTTTATTTCCCAAAGTTAATTTTATTTATAAAATATTGACAACCTTTGACATTAAACCTCTTTGCTAAGATTTTTAAAAGTATCGCTCATATTGTATCATCAAACTTTATTTAAAAAATCACATGCCTTTTACATTATATTATCGCACCAGTACGTAATGACGGAATTACGATTTTGAATTACGATACGATACATTACCATATTGAAATTGGTCTAATTACAATCATTTTACGAGGAAATATGTTATAAACACTTTTAACGGCTTAAACGCGAAATATATTGTATAACATATTTTTGATTTTAACTACGGTCCGTCGTTTCAGATGCTTTGCAGCAACCCTATTTTTTTACATTTTCAGTCCGTCCTGGTCAAATAAGTATTATCTGTAATGTACACAAATAGTTTATATTAAAATAAAGCGTCTTAAACGTTAGGCCGTAGTTAAAATAAATTAAATTAAATTAAAAATAAGTTATCTAATATATCTCGCATTTTTAACCTAAAAAAAAGTGTTTTATAAAACTTAGAGTTATGTAAATAACACCCTTTAATGTTATTTACATAACTCTAAGTTTTATAAAACAATTTTTAAATTGATTAACTTTAGTTTGTATAATTTTTTTTCTCCTTCCGTCGGCAACGCTGTAAAGCCGTCGGGTAGTAGTTAAAATGTATTTAACTGTTAGTATCAATGTTTTAAATCATTTATATTTATTAGAATTATTTATATAGAATACATGTAAACTACAAGCTTTTGGTACAATATCAAAATTAAGAAGAAATATAATACTCAAAATAAGCTCCGTTTCTGAGAATGAGCGACCACACTGCGTCGGCGCGGGCGCATATCAATTTCGCCGACATACGGAGACTTCTTACATGTCAATTGTCAGCAGACCATGACCTGTCACTTGAACGTCTCCATAGATGAAATTTTCTTCCCTATATTTCAAATAGAGAGTGAAACTATACTTAAATTTAAACGCGCTAATCATAGGAACTAGTGGTTCGAATTGAATAATTCTTTTTCACCACTCTGCGACCAATTTTAGCGAAGACACAATGGAAAATGTGGGAAAATCGGAGAATATTATTCATTTTCGGAGGCTTCCGTTGCATGCGCTTCGAAAAGAGTTCAAGAAAATAATGATTTTTCTTAATAATCCAAAAATAACCACTTTTTAGCTAACTAGCCGCGGTTATTTTTGGATTAGTCTAAGTCTTGATTTACAAAATTTAATATTATAAATAGCTATTTATAATATTAAATTTTGTAAATCAAGAAAAACTTTGCATTTTTCATATTCAAGTCTTGCACTAACAGATGAAGAATTATTTAGATGTATTTTAGGTAGACCAGTAAGTATAAAGTGGCGTACTTGGTGCGATATTTCATCCACTTGTAAAGCAGTAAATCTGATTAAATTGCCGCCTCATCGAATATAGTTCAGTGATTTCAAAGAGTCGAAATTTGTCCTGACAATATTTACTGCGACAGTGACCGACTTGGTGATATGTAGACGTCTGAATGGCGGTGCATATCATTTTTTACGTCTTAGGATATCCTATGTTAAATATTGTGCGAAGTTTTTCGTTTGAACCAATCAAATAAAATACTTTTAACGGTTTCATTGCGAAATGTATCATTTAATCAATTTAAAGGCTTGAAACACAAATTATATTAATTAATTAATTTTTGCACATGTGAAGTAATAAGTGAAATCTAATAAAAGATAATATCTATAAAATGATTTGTTATTGTGTATTTATTACAACTAAATAGTGTGTAATACCCTTGTTCTTTGATATTAATTTAATATGTATTAGGCAGTGGGAAATGTTATTGACACAATCAAATAATCGACCAACATGAATATAATTTAAGATAACAAATAATAATTTACTCTCAGATACATAAAAATTATGATGCTATAGGCTGGAGGTGTATTACCTAACATCAAGTGACCCAATGCTTGTCTATCATCTTTTAAAAAATCTGAATGCAGTCTACGTTGTCCCACAATTAAATAAACGATGGTTACCCTACAAGCCATCACGTGTGCTCCCAACATGAAGGTCGCATTGCTCCTTTGGGATAACTTAAAAAACTTCAACACCTATTTTCTGTAATTTTAACTTTCGCTACTTAAAGAAGCCGACTAAACCGATTCTTGGCAAAATATAATTAAAATAAACAGTCCTTGAACATATAAAGCATATTCCATATAAACACATCGAGGTCAAAGAGTTCAATTATATTATGAGGGATCATAAAAAGTTATAGTCAGAAATTCTAGATTTGGAGAGAAACATTACAATACGCGATTTCTATGTAACTTCGACAGTTCATCATTCACCATTGACATACAATCCCGTGACCACGGCTGCTACAAAGCATCCGAAACATCAGGCCGTTGCTAAAAATAATTTTCAAATAAGTTTGACTTATATATCGCGTTTTAAACCGTTAAAGTGTTTTTTTTAAGTGTGTAGCTACTTAACGTAAACTACACACAGTATTAAGAAGTGAAAGATTTGTACAAACATCTCCGTATCTAGGATCTCGTGCTTATTGTAGTATTACAACTGACTAAAAGAGGCGACCACAATGAATGGAGAATTATTGTTTGTATAGATTTGACGCCCTTGATTTTAGAATTAGTTGTAGATGTAAAATTTGTTTTCATTTATTATATTGGAGTGCATAATGGTACCTAGTTACCGACGTGAATGTTTTGGGACTTTGACTTGGATTCGGATTTTGAAACGGACTTGAACTTGGAATTTTATTTCAAGTTAACTTAAATTTGGAATCTGAGTTGGACTGTGACTTGACTAGAAATTGGAATTGGACTTTGACTCAACAATAAGATACTTTTTTGTTATTCATTAAAGGTGATATAAAAATTATAAAAACTTGTGTTTTTTTATATATTTTTATTAACAATCACATTATATTATAAATACTTATTGATCTACTTATTTCTAGGCTCCAGGACATTTGTAATGCCTGTTTATCCGAAGCCAGTCCTTATCTGTAACGTACTGGCGTTGACCCATTGTGCCTTCATGCTCCTAAAAAAACCGTTTATTAGTAACCATTTTTTAATCTTGTGGTGACTAAAATTTTCGAAAGTACGTATTCAGTAAATACACATTATCTATATTTGACTACACTTCCTTTACCCCACAAGTAATTAATAAAGAAAATGGTTTAAAATCCGTGTTCCAGGAAACATTAGGCATTTTGCAAAAGGTGAAGTTCCTATCTAATTAACATAATGAGTGTATATCAAATATATGTGAGCAAAGTTAAGACCCAAAATGCAGGATGTATTTTGCCTATAAAACTAGCCTCCTTTAAATAACTCAAGTAAAATATGTTTAAAACGTTATGTTATTAGTACTTTTCGCGTTACTTACAGACAATGGAAGGTAGAAGTCAAAACTACACCTATTTCAAGGACCGTTGGAACTATAACGCTTGTTAGTTTCCTTACCTTTAAGGCGACAATAGTTGGTTCACCGTTAGATGAAAAAGCATAGCGACTGTAATGCAAGCAACTGACGTAATCATAATCAATGTCCAGATTGCTGATCAAATCTTTGCCATATGCTTCGAAGTTGTGCTCGGTACCTGTGGAGAAAGACAGCTACACTACGATTGTTCAATAACATCCAGTAGATGGACGAAGAACAAAAACTTTGATGTAAATTCCGTCGTTACGAACCACTGTTCACCGAAGAAAAAGGCGTGAAATTTAATAGCGTCTCGGCTGTAGTCCTTGGAGTTATATATTCCAAAGCTAACGAAGTTCGACTGCGTATCATCAAATGGATCTCATGCTTCTCTGTCCCACTCTATTGTAGTCTTTTGTTTTCGAACTAAATTTTTTTATAACAAAAATAGTTACTAAACTACTCCTTAGCATAATAAACATACCTGATATAATATTCTTCTCCATAATCTGGACGTAGTTGTCCCGATTGTATGTGGATTGCATATGCAAGAAGCCAAGGATATGCATCCACTCATGTACAATTGTAGCATGGCGGAAGCATCCAACCCCCGGTGTGTTCTTCGCCAGGTTCAGCTGGTGTTCACCCCGAGGTTCCCAATAACCAACGTGGGCATAGCATCCTCCAGGGTTACCCTGTGTCATTTAATTTGAGACTCATTTAAGTTCACCATAGGGCATAGGCTGTCCTAATAAATTTATATTTTTTCTGAAATATGAACTTCGTCTAGAAATCTGGATATTCTATCGGTAGGTATATCGAAACTCCGTCCAGTTCACGAAAAAGCCGTGAAGTTTCATCGAGTTTCAGTTTCAATTTGTGAATAGCTAAAAACGATCGACACTAGATCTTGCTAAGATTACTATATGGCTGAGATATTTCACCTTCCATCAAGTGATCCTATCCTGTTATAAACTTTGACAGGATTCTTATTTTATTTATTTCTTACTTTAAATACAAAATAATTTTACGATTACGATGCACCTCTTAGTGTTTATACAAAGAGAAGCGGGTGCCAAGCTTTTTTCAAGTTTACTTCTGTCAAAGACGATAAAAAACTGATAGGATGTCCGTTTCTAAAATCTTTGGATTTGCGAAGAACAAATCCCAGTCTATGGAAGGATTCTTTACTCCGCCATAAACGTGGCTGTTAAACATCAAACCACGGTCAAATACGACGCCTAGGCCTTAAATAATAGCTCTACGTCCGATACATATACCGATCAATTTATAATCTAAATAAAAAAATAAAAAAAAAAGTTATCGATATATCGATAAAGTATTATCCATTTTTGGCTTGGAGCACTATCAAGATTGGTAATTAGTACTACATTTACAAGAATACATACCGTAACTTTGACATACACAGTGTCCCCTGGTTGACGAAGTCTGAATTTGATACAAGTATGATTTTGAATGTCTTCTATAGCATCCAAAATGGCCGCTTCATGTATGTGTTCTAGAACGTTCATACATACATAGAATGTTTTAAACCCTTATAACTTTTTATTAACGAACGTTAATCTATACTTCTATACTAATATATAAAGGTGAAGAGTTTGTTTGTGTGAACGCGATAATCACAGGAACTACGGGTTTGAATTGAAAAATTATTTCTGTGTTGGTTAGAACATTCATTAAGGAAGGCTATAGAGCATCACCCTGTAACTAATACAAGCGAAGGTACAGCGAGAAATGTGGAAAAAAATGGAAGAATCATTAATATGTATGAAAGAATAATTCCTCTTTAAATGATCTAAAAAAAAGTCCGCGACGCTATATGTCTATATTTTAAGATTAACTTGCAAGAACGACGGGAAGGGACGCGACCGACGTCGTGGGTAAAAGTTTAAGTTTAAAAAGTTGAAGGGGTCACAAACGAATTTGAATGCTCAAAATAATCATTCTTGCGGACGAAGTCGCTGACACAGCTATTACGTGATTTTGACCTTCTTTTTCACCTTTGTCCAGTCACGATTAAAAATCTATATTTAACACGATAATTCTAAGGTAAAACAATATTAAAATATATTTATCTATAATTTATCAATGTACTTAATCGTATCATTAATCGCTTCGTATTGATTACAATCAATATTATAGATCAATTAATGTTTATATACTATAAGTTTGTTTAGTTTTTTACTCCGCTTCTGTAGCTAAATGGTAAACGCGTTGCCCAGCATTGAGTAATTGCGCGAGAGGTCCTGGGTTCTAATTGGTTTCGGTCGAGCGGGGCAGAGAACTCTAATCAACTACTTGTCCGTTCAAGAACCGATTAGTAAAACGTACTTACGTAAACTTATGATACGAATGAACTTAAACTAAAATGCTTAAATTAAGATTTTATAATATTTAGTCTATGTGACCACGGCAGCAAACCAAAACGTCGGGCCGTAGTTAAAATGATTTTCAAATAACTTTAACTAACATATATCGCGTTTTAAACCGTTACAGTGTTTTATTTAAATGTGTACTACTACGTACTAACTTACAAGATCTTACACACTTACCTAAATTATCACCGCCTATTTCCCAGACGACTACGTTGTCTGGCCAGGTAGTTTCGGGCCAGACATATGCGTTTTGCCCAGACGCATATTGGTCCACCATAGCCTCTATCATGTAGTCGTCCAGAATTATGTCACCCTGGTATTTCCCGCTGTTCTCTTCTGGATTCGCGAGAGGTGATATCTTGTTGAACACCAAGAGGCCATTTCCATTGGCTAAAATGTGAAGACGACAATATTTTACAAACTGTTTTTTTATAACAGAGCCGGACAAGCCTGGTCTTCACTTGATTGAAGATGAAATGTTGTAGTAAACTAGCTGTAACACACGACGTCGTCCGCGTCTCGTCGTGCTTGCAAGCTAATTCTAAAAGGTAGACTATATGTCTGCGGACATTTTTTAAAATCATTTAAAGAGATTTCTTTCATTCATATTTTTGGGGTCATGGACCACTTTTGCAGCGCACGCAACAGACGCAAAGAAACAGGACAAAATATGGAACAAACAGGGAAAATTATTACTCCTTGTGGGTTTCCATTGCCTGCACTACGAAACCGGTTTAAGATACCCAAAATGTATGAAATTCTTTCTATTTACATAACCCAAAAAAATATCCGCGACAGGATATGTCTATCTAATAAGATTAATATGCAAGAACGGCAAGACGGCTACAATTTGTTTGCAAAAATAAATTTGGATGCCCAAAATAATTTCAGCAGACGAAGTCGTGGGCACAGCTAATTAATACGATATAACTCATAAAATTATTAGGTAACACATATAGCTCTTAAGAAGAATATATTTTCCCAAAACCATTATTTAAGTTATGTTAGTATACTTACAAGCCTTTGATGCCTTAAGAAACTGTTTATAATCTTCGATTTCTTTCCTACTCCTGGCAGCAGAGGGCGAAGCCCCGACAGTCGCCAGCGCGCACAAAATCACTGCGAACATAAACGTCATGATAAATACTTCAATTATGACCAATTAATAAACAGTTTATATATCAAACAATTATCTTTCGATAAGGTCGGACGAAATTTATTTATGACGTTTGCATGGGTAGAACTGAAGATATCAAACGCATTTAAATAGGCTAGACTTAAATTAGTGTAGATTTACCAATATTTACGACACGGGACTTGAACTGGCATCGACTGTTGCTCTAACCAATTGAGCTACCGTATTGTACAAATCAAAGTCTAATTTTTTAAACTGTATTTTGAAACTTATGTTAAATGCACATGACAGGATAAACTTTTTGGAGTTTCGATGGCGGACTTGACAACGCATGGATGGTGCCACGGACCACGGATGATAGGGAATTGCGATAACCAATATTTAATTACAAATCTTTAAGAACCATTTTTAACAGCTCAAAATCACAATGTCGCAGTCTATCCAAAATGGCCCCGAAAGCCTTAAACGTAAGTTTGAGTTGGGTAATAGACTACATATTCGTTTTGCCAAAGAAAATGTTAAGTTTAATTTTTTAATTAGACATACAAAAAAACACCTTTAACGATTTAAGAAAACTGAGTTAGAATAAAACATAAATTGAATAACAGACAAAGTAAATAGGTACACAAAAATGGGTACACATTTTAATAATTTGAGATATTTGACGTTAGAACCACAAGCACACAATTAGAACTACAATTGTTAGAACAATCAAGCGTTCATCTCAAGGCGAACGTTATAATGCCGAATTGATAATAACACACCAAAATTACAGCCATATAGCTAAAATAAAACATTAGGCTTATTAAAATCTCCACTAATATCGAATAAAACGAAAAAGTTGAACTGCCAGAGTAGAACCAAAAGCCGGTACTGAAAGTAAGTCTGTAGTTTACGAGAGTAGTTCACATTTTAATATATTTTTTTTACGTGAAATATTAACTTAAGTACAATTTGTTTTGACTGACGTTTCCGATGCTTTGCAGCAACCGTGGACACAAGTCTACTGAAGATGGATGTCCCTAATGTCAAATTAAGTCTTTCTATAGGTTTTTGTATTGAGTGATGTATATTCCAAATTAAAGTGTAAAGTGAAATAGTGTAAATATATATGTTTTTACAAAAACGTAGTGAGTGTTTTTTAATATATCCCTCAGCCTCCAGAGCTCAGCTTCCACGAAAAAAAAAAACAAATTCAACGCAGTAGGTACAATACAGCTATATCAAGTAAAATTAAAGAAATCTCACCATAACATTGATATAAATACAATAATTGTTATATTTCTAAAACAATATCTTTACCTCATATAATATTGGTCCCAAATAACTTTTGAAAAAAATCACAGTAACATCGGTTAATGACTGTAGCGCCATCTAGATAAGTAAAGTCAACTAACGTTGGTATCTTATGTTTAATTATGGGTCCTTATGACAAAAATTTTAAGAGCAAGACTACAACGACGAACTACCTGATAAAAAAGATTGAACAAATGTACCATTATTAGAATATATCATTCACAGCTGTTACAATGTTATAGAAGCTGAAGTTGTAATATTTACTTTAGTTATTAACATATTCTACTATAGAATAAACCAATTACAAGTTTCATTATTTAAAACAGGCTTGTCAATCAATATGTAAACCTCTGTAGTTAAGCCTCCCTAGCATTGCGTCTACCGCGAACGGTCCTGGGTTCGAATACAGAGAAAACAATAGATTGTTTGTGTTAGGCAGGGCACTGTGTGATCACAGTCTCGCCTGTAAATAAAACCGATAAGTGCAACGGACACATAAATATGTCCGCCCCATGCCCCACGATGGGAAATGATATTTCAATTTACATATGTATTACAATAATGTGAAATTTCTGTTTGTATGTAGCAAAATGACAGAACAGTAAATTTGCTACGAATTTTGACCCAGTTGCAAGTGGATTCCCGTCGTGTTTTAGTTCGAAATGTTGACAACTTACGCAGCGCTAGCATCGCGTGTTTATTTACATTTTACTTTATGATACATACGAAACGTTGGGACGTAGTTGAAATATATTTAAATGAGTTAACTATTACATTTCGTGTTTTAATCCGTCCATGGCTGCTCAACTAATATAAGAATTGTTTTTAATTGAAAAGTCTAATTTGTCTCATTTGAGGCCACAAATATTAATAAAAGTTTAAAATTAAAATGTCTTTCTATAAATATCGCTATCACAAGAATATTTTATGTGAGCGTTTAAATTACTGCCATATCAATTAATTCGTGACGACCGTACTTTAATTTATATTCATACCAAATTATCTTTTCTGATGATAATATTGACACCACATTCCGCTGTTGTAAGTCTTAATTAAACATTCGAATTGAAATTTTCTTTGAAAATTTTATTATTTTTTACATGTTATTATTACATATGAAGGCACTATATAATTTAAAAATCGAAAATAAATTGAAAAAATTTTCGACTCGGACAGGACTTGAACTTGAATACGTAAGTGGTAAGATTGAAATTACATTGCGCAATAGGTAATAATTATTTTCAATTCAAACTTTTACTTCCTGAAATTAGCGCTTTCAAACGTACAAACAATCTCTTCAGCTTTATATATTAGTATAGATTTAGAATAATATCTAGCATGTATATATGTTCATTTTTTCTTTTTAGTACGACTCAGGCGCACAGCTGATGTACACTGACCGTAATACCGAAGCACTGTACCTGGCTGGACTCGTGAGCTCTGGTCGCGTGTGTGCTACGGCAAAGGCACCGGGAGTCCACACTCGCGTCGCTAGAATGCTCGACTGGATAGAGGCTACAGCGCCCGCGGAATACTGCAAAATATAAATTTTTGATTGACATATTGTTTTTGCTTTATTTCTACTAGAAGTAAAAAAAACTTGACATTAGAGACAATTGGTTAAGGGGGGACTGAAGATGGAGGCTTCAGTCCCCCCTTAACCACGGCTGCTGCAAAGCATCCGAAAGGTCGGGCCATAGTTAAAATAATCGTGCATAAATAAGCTACTACATTTCGCGTTTAAAACCGTTAAGTCTTATTTAAACGTGTAATACTCGCGAAAACTACAAACATTACTTAATCCTGGAACATGGCAAAAATTCAAATATGAGTCAGTAGTTTGTTGTAAGGCGCCCTTTTTAATGCTTACTATTAACAAGGAATTATTAACTACTAGTTGTGGCCTCGACTTCGTTCGCGTGGAATAGTGACTTGGGGTAGAATTTTTAATTATTTAGACTGTTTATTAATTTATGTTATTGCGTATTTATCGCAGCCAATCTATGGTGTAAGTGCTACTTTGCCGCAACACTCTCACCGCTCCCACACTCCTACTCTAACTTCCACTCTCACTCTTTCTCACTCTACTCTACTCTACTCACTCAGTAGTTTTGGCGTGAAAGAGTAACAGACAGACAGACAGACAGAGTTACTTTCGCATTTATAATATTAGTATGGATTCTCGTATAAACAAAGACCTTAATTGCGTTGCTAGGATGTCTGTTATTTCAATACATCCATAGTTTACACTTGTTAAAAGAATATAGTTATAATACAAAGGGATATCAATAAGGTGTCGTTCATAAAGATAACCTACAATAATTTTCATCTATACTAATATTATAAAGAAGGACTTATTGAAAACAGAGTTTTTATGATTGGGCGATTTATTGATGAAGGTTTTTTGGCTATATAATATCAGACTGCGACCAATAGGAGCGAAGACACAGGGATATGTGGAACAAAATATTCATCTTTGAGGGCCTTCATTACAATTGCGCTGCGATAACGGTTCAAAAGCCAAAGAATATGTAATATGTAGAAAATAATAATTCTTCTTTAAATTATGTGCAAAAATGTCCGCGACAGTATATGTTTATATTTTAAGGTTAACTGGCAAGAACGGCGAAATGTGGGCGGAAGCTGAGGAGTCTGTAAAAATAACTAATATAGCGCCCAAAATAACTATTCCACGCGGACGAAGTCGCGGGCACAGCTAGATAATGTAAATCTAAGAACTTAAAATGATGTTATGTTATGTACAGAGGACGGCTAAGCATTGAGGTTCACTTATTGTATGGTGATATATCCCAGCCGTGTAACGTCTGAATAAGATGGGCTGACAATCTATTTTCGCCCTTGGACTGACACCGAAACGTAAATAATCTTCACGATTTTCATCTGTAGAATGGAATATTGACATTGGTACCTCATTTAAAAACCGAAGAGAACACGGAACTAGCAACAGCACGGAACGCTGACGATGTCGGTTCAAGTCCCGCCCGAGTCAAAACTTTTTTCAGTTTATTTTCGATTTTTAAATTATATTAATATGCAATAACATGTGGCAAATATTAAAGTTTTCAAACATTGCTAGCTACCTCATGATAAATGTAACTTGTAAAATCCAAATTTTTAAATTAAACAACATAAATATGACTGTCCTTGAGTTTAAACTTTTTTTTAAATATATTTTGCAACATTTGTACGCAAAGTCAAGGGAAAAAGAATTAAACTTGAAAATTAAAATGTGAAAACATTTCTTTCATTATGAAGTACACCTTCAAAAAGTATTTACTGGTATATGTAAATACTAATTACGGGCTGAAAAAGTGAGTCAGTTTAAAAAGAAATTCAATTCGTCCTTGTAAAAAGAACTATAGTACTGCGACGAAGATGTTTAAACTAATTGTGTTTTAAACTGTACACTGTGCTCGTCTTTGGCGATGAAGGTAATATTTTTATATTTAAGCCAAGTTTTCAATACTCACTGCAACCACGTAAAAATGTTTTTTTTTTCATTAAAGGTAACAGGTATCCCATTTATTTTTATTTGGCCGCGAAGTACAGACAAGTATTAAGTTTTCATGATTGATGGTTAAATAGCCCAGGTATATAACATCGGAGCAAGATGTGTTGTTGACTTATTTTTGCTTAGGACATTCAGATTTCCATAGAAGTCTTAATTAAACATTCAATTGTTTTTGAAAACTTTATTATTTTTTACATGTTATTGCACATGAAGGGACTATATAAATTAAAAATCGAAAATAAATTGACAAAGTTTTCGACTCGGGCAGGGCTTGAACCGGACCTTAATACGTAAATGTTAAGGTTGAAATTACATTGCAAAATAGGTGCATGTATCAATAAGTTTAAGAAATTCGACGATGAGGTGTAGGACACGGTAGCTGAATTGGTAGAGCAACAGCACGCACAACTCGCTTCTTTTTTAACCATAGAGGAAGACAGACAAGCATGTTGTTTATTTGAGGAGGGCAAATACCCCAGCCACGTAACATTCCAACAAGATACGCCGTCGGCCTATTTTAGAAATTCAAAGACTGAAATCAAAAATTATAAATTCAAAAAGAATTAAAACTTAAAAGATACACATATCTTGTCGCGACAATATTTTATTTATTAAAAGAGGAATCATTCTTTCGTACATATTTTTTGGTGTTTAAAACCGTTTACGCAGCGTACGCCACGGAATTTCTCAATGAATAATTTCCTCTTTCTTCCATATTTCCTACTGTTTTTACTCCTATTAGTTGCATCGTAATCTTTCTAATCAATACAAAAAGAATAGATTAACAAGAATTTTTCAATACGAACTAGTTCCTGGGTTTAAACAAACAAACAAACTCTACAAATTTATAATATTAGCATAGATTGCTTAACGGGCCTCTCATAGAAACGAAGGTTTGAAGACTCAGTGTAATAGGTTCAAAAATATTCATAGGCACTAAAAGTGTTCTATATATTTACGAATACGTAAATTAGATAGATAAATATATCTATCTTTTTAGCGGACACTCGAATCGTCGGAGGCACCGATGCGCCAGATGGCGCTGTACCATACATAGTTTCAATAACTTACAACTACCAGGGAGAGGAACATCATGTGTGCGGTGGCTCCATCGTTGCGAAACATTGGATATTAACAGCGGCCCATTGTTTTATACAGTAAAGATAATTATCTATACTAATATAACAAACCTGAAAAGTTTGTTTATTTGAACGCGCTAATCTCAGGAACTACTGTTTGTTTTTTTTTTGTGTTAGATAGACCATTCATCGAGGAAGGCTATAAAGTATAAAATATCACGCTGCGACCAATAGAGCCTAAGAAACAGGGAGAATGTGGAAAAAAAAGGAAAATCTTGTAGCGTTCGCAGCGCATCAAAACAAACCCGTCATCAATAAATATTTTTCCCCTTTTTTTCACATTTCTCTTTTTTGCTCCTTTGTGGCCTGGTATTTTATAGCCTAAAAGCTTTCTCGACAAATGGTTTGACCAACACAAAAAGAATTTAAATTCGAACCTATAGTTTCTGAGAATAGCGCGTCAAACGACAAATTATTCAGCTTGTATCAGTATATATTTTTATCTACCGACAAATCTGATACTTTGCAGCAGCCATGGCCACGGGAGATGGTAAAAGTCAATTCTTGTATGTCCATAATGCTTGTTGTAAATGACGAAATATTTTTTAGGAAATATAATGCTACAGTTATAGCGGGAACGAATAATCTAAAAGAAGGCGGTATTCGTTTTAACGTGGATTCTATCATTTTGTATGATGGTTACAATAACAACAGGCCGAAAAAGAACGATATTGCCTTAATAAAGCTATCTACTGATTTAAAGTATTCTGACAAGATTCAACCGGTCGAATTGGCGACAGAAAAACCCTAAAGACGACACGGTTTGTATCCTGGCAGGTTGGGGATTTACTGATGTAAGTTGAATTGGTTTTTTTAAACTTAAGTAATTTCTAATGGCAGCTAATGAATGGCTAATAATGAACGGGTCGGTCTTGAAATCTGAATATAAAACGGGTAGTAGGAAGATCAAATTACGAATGTGGATATAATTCAAAAATATATTTTACGATTTTGAACGCTGGCTATAATAATTATAGCCTTTAGCGTTAGGAATGAAGTGGAAATTAATATTACGTGGTGAATGCATCAGAGGCCAATATTAACAACAGTCAATGATAGGTGAAATTTCATTAGCGGTACGCGATTGACTTGTCTAACTTCTGATTAGTTATATTATTTCAAATAAATTCAAATGTCAAATATTGTATGTTATTTTCTTATGATAGAGGAGGTTAGACCAGCTTGAGGGTCACTTTATTGTAGGGAAATACCCGAAGCCGTATAACGTCTAAGCAAGATGGGCTGTCGTCCTATTTTGGACATTAGGAAACCCACTGACTAAACGAAACGCGCTTCTTCATCTATTTATCACACTGACGGTTTTTCCATATTCCTAGCACCGATTCAACTTCCAAACGGAGCCCAACATGTTTCGCAAAATTATAAATTGATTAGACGCGCGTTGGACCGTTGATTATTGGCAATACTTTACTACCGTTACACCAACTGGCTCGTCGAATTGATATGTGCAATAATAATATTTTTAGCAACAAGCTAAGACGAAAACTGATCGTTTACAAATTATCGAATTGACGACAGCATCCAAGAAATGCAGAGGAGCACGCGGTCTGGATGAGAAGGAAAACATCTGCACAATTTCAAAGAAGGGACAGGGCGCCTGTGTGGTGAGAAAAGTTTTCATGTCGTAATATTACTGTACTCCGTACTCCGACTAAAGACGCATACGCACGAATATTGACACGTAAAACGCTTAGTGGATAGGGGCCCTAAGTCCGCTAAATCAAGAACAAATGGTGACTTGATCGGAGCCTGAACCAACACAAACATCGTTTATATCAAAAATCTAAAGTCTAGTTGTCTTGATGATGACGATTATGGATTGCCATTTCATCAGAAGACAACAATCTTATTTAAAAATGTATCATATAATGTTTCAGTTAACTTATTTACAATACGGCTGGACTCCGTGCCATGGCTACTGCAAGGCAGTGTATAATAAGTTAATTGATAGTAATAGAATGTTTATTCACATTATTACAATAATTGTACTTTACAATAATCAGTTATTGGTTCATACATTACTGTGAACATTTTAATAGTTTTTTCATATATTTGAACAAATCTACATTATTGTTTTATACAGGGGGATTCGGGTGGACCACTCGTGGCGAAGGAAACCAAGAAGCTAATCGGCGTAGTGTCTTGGGGTGTTCCCTGCGCTTATGGGAGCCCCGATGTCTACACAAATGTCTATGCCTACAGGGATTGGATAGAGAAGCACGTGAAGTGAAACAAAGGAATAAACTTCATATATTTGTTAAATGTTTTTTAAAGATAATTAAAAATTGAAAAAAAATAATAATTTCAACAAAAGAAAGACATATAATGTAGCTGACATTTTGTTTTAAAGAGGAATCATTTTTTCATACAGATCTTTTTGTTTATACCATTATCGCATCGCACGCAGCAAAGCCTTCAAAAATGAATAATTTTCCCCGTTTTTTTCAACTATTCTACTATTTCGCTTCGCTCCTATTGATTGCAACGTAATAAATGGTCTATCTGAAACAAAAAATGTTATTTTTATTCCTGAGATAAGCGTTTAAACTAACAAACTCTTCAGCTTTATAATATTAAGTAAGTACATAATCAAGTACACACTATCACAATTATTCTTGAAAGTAAAAGAAATTGTTTCATTATATCTAATTGATTAACTTTGAAATATGAACAAAAGCCAGACTGAGTTTCTTGGGTGTTCTTCTCGGTTATGTTGCTCTTTTGAACACTCTGTAGAATCACGACGAACGGACACACAAACATATTATTATATATTTTTTTACGAATCTAAATAATTTCATAGAGAATAAAGTATATTTTATTTATTTGAACTGTATCTAAGTCAAACATTAAAAACTTATAATGAAAATAAGTTTATAAGCGACAAAGTTATAAATATGAAAAAACAACGTTAAGCTGAACGATGGCCGTGAAAGCTTTACATAATTAATGAAAATGCTATTTATACGGTAAAAATGAAAAACCTCATTTATTGAAGTCGGTTAGATTTGAACTGGTAATAAATGAAAAATCAGTCATTCGTTTTTAACTGGGTTTAAGTTCATAAGTGTACCAAGTAACCTACTTGTATTAATTATTTTTGACTTTGACTTTAATTTCAAGCTGCGTCCGTTCGGAACAAATGTGTCTTATCTATACTAATATATAAAGTTGAAGAGTTTGTTTGTTTAAACGTTCTAATATCACGAATTCTCACAAATAATGATCTTTAAATGATCTAAAAAAATGTCCGCGACACTATATGCCATCTTTTAAGTTTAACTTGCAAGAACGACGGGACCCGAAGCGTCGGACGCGAACGATGGGACGCGACCGACGAAGCCGTGGGCAGCTAAAATGTGTAAAGATGTAGAGGTTTGCAAAAACAAATTTGGATGCCCAAAATAACTATTCTACGCGGACGAAGTCGCTGCTTTTTTCACAAACCCGATAAAGCCGACTTATGATATGAAATCGACAACGAATTTTGGTTGATGAATTACTTCTCTACTAATTAGTTAATCTTATCCTAAGTTACGCTATCACATAAGCGATGTCTGATTAATAGTTACATGATTCGGTGATTTCTCTTATACTGGAATTCGATTTGATATAAGAATTAAAAATCTTTTATGAATTGTAAAAATTAAGACTCGTGCAGGACATGTATCAATATGCTAAACATTCGACGAGGACTCGGTAATTCGATTGGTTAGAGCAACAGCACGGTTGCGTTGGTGTCGGAATCTTTTTCAATGCATAATCGATTTTTACCTTTTTAATATTAAGTATCTGTTTTTAAAATGCAAATTGTAAATTTTAATTATATTTACATGATATTGCACATGATGGCACTATATCGATTAAAAATCGAAATGTTTTTCAATTTATTTTCGATTTTTAATCTATGCAAATGTCTGTATTCTCTGTCTGTATGTCTACATTGTATTTATATGAATTATGGTAACTTGTCAATGGTAACAACTAAATACATATTAAAAATGTGATGCATAAAAGTTTTAATTACATACTGCCAAAACAGGATAGTTTCGTTACACAGCCGTAAGATAATATATACTACGGATTCCTGAATACATTTTATATTACATCCCTGAAAATTCGTAGGAGTAACTAAAAACTTATTTTCATACACAATAAAATATACTTTAATCAGTAAACTAAAAAGGAGAAGATACGTTTACTTTGCAAAAACTAATACCTATTTTGCTTTACTCAAAATATGAGGCCGCTAGAGGCAGAGTAGCCTAACTACAATGTTATGACTTGAGTTATTTATACTTTCGTTGTCTAAAAATGTTAATCTACAAGAGCACAGTGACCGAAAATTGTTAACATAATTAAGCAGCCTCATATTATTGCATATATTACTTTTGTGTTCGGGCAATTAAATTAAATAAAAAATAAGCGTAACTAATATATATCAAGATTTAAACAGTTAAAGTGTACAGACAGTATTTAAGATTCAAACATATAATCTAAACACAAAAATGAAAATGATTTTTATGAGTTGGTTCACACTTTTCAACTAATGACGCTTAGTAATTAATTTAGGAAATGAAATCTTTGATAAAATTTAAGTGATTAAGGCGTTATCGAGTTTTGCTGAAGTCTAAGCGATGGGTATAAAAGCAAATATGACTTCGTACGGTTCCGCATACTGTTGCTTCATTGCGTCCACAAGTAAAAAATGCGGGTAAGCCACTGGACTTTTATACTTAACGTAGTCCGCGTAGAATATTTGTTTTATTTATTATTACCAAAATTTGTTTTTGCAAAGCTTCTCTTCGTCTTTATAAATTGTATCTGTGAAGTGTTACCCACGATGTCGATCGCGTCCTGACGTTCTTGCAACCTAATCTTTAAAGATAGACATAATATTTTTTATATAATTTAAACAGGAACAATTCCTTCGTGCATATTTTTGAGTATCATAAACTTAGCGCACGCAACGAATACTTACAAAATCTTGAATAGATTCGTTCGATATTTACAGGCCAGCAGTTGATCAAACTTTTGTGCTCTACCGAGCCGTACCAATCCATTGTTTCCCCAAGATTCGAACCCACGACCTACAACACGTTTCACCTGTTAGCTATTTCAGTAATGGTTACTAAGCAGACAAATAAGTACATCGGAAGAGTCTATTTTAAAATATATTAAGTTAAGAGTTTTAACTTAATTATTTTAGTTGTAATAATTGAAGTTGAATTGTTTATTGATTTTTCAGTTAGCGACTCCGATAGTTGTTGTATTAACTATACTTGGCGATGTTAGAGCAGAAGACTCCAACTGTGGCTTTAGTCAAAATGTAAGTCCTTCCTTAGTTTTTTAAATAAGTTTTACCACCGCACGTACCATAGACGCAATTATGAGATAGGTGAACATCGTAATGTTGACTGTACAGAATAGGACCAAATTTGTTTCCCTTCGTAACCCCAGCAGTTGTAAATGTATTCTCTGGTGCGATAGATCATGGATTTCCAGTCTAATCTCAGAAAACGAGGAATTTAATAATCGTCTGATGCATAAATGAATTTACTACAATTTTAAATATCATTATATTTTATTACTTTTTTACTCGTTTATTCGTTTGCCCTGAGCATTGTTTAAAGCAACAACTCTTTACAAATCTTATCAAGATATCTTTGTCATTTATGTTATAGGTAGAGGTTGGAAAAACACACTACTTACACAACCCTGGATATCCTTTCAACTACGTTCCAGGAACAAAGTGCAATTGGCATATTTCATGTCCCCCGGGATATAATTGCAGAGTCGACTGCAAAGTTGACATTCTAAAGGTAAGCGCCCCTACGTACGTAATACTGAATTAAATTGATTTGTATTTATAGAATAAAATTCTTTCTGATGTGGTACTCGTTACTAGATGGCTTATGAACGATAATTGCAAATTGTTTTGAGGGTGTGCATGTTAATTGTACGTAACTTCAATTTGTGATATTTTTTAGAGCGATGACTGTGAGCTTGATCGCCTTTTGGTGTCAAGGACTGGTATCAACGTGCTCAGTTCAGCGGATCTGTACTGTGATAAGTTAGACTTCACAGCTATCTCCCTTCATCAAAAACTTAGCCTCGGTAACATATTTAATGTTCATCAAATTCGAATAGTAATTGAATTCATCATTGTTCAAAAAAATATTTAAAACAGAAGAATTATAAACAAATATCTAGTGGCTCCAGAAGATAGTAAAATCCGGAGAACCAAAGAGCTCGTGAGAAGAATTTTAAAAGCGTTAGGTACAATTTAAGTAAGAATTGTTGTACATTTGTTTACTTCTATACATTGAACAAAGCTTGCTATACATCCGATATTATCCAATTTCAATTCTTCAAACACACGAAGATAGAGTTATAGACTTCTTTAAAGCAGAGAAGAATAGATATTCAAACCAAATGATAAAAGCCTTTAAATATGATTCTCTTCTAGCTTTAATATCACCAGGACACGGTAACGGTGGAAAGTTCAATTGCAAAGTGGTTGCTCAACCCGAATCCCGAGACACAGAACCATGTTCGTGCGGCCAATCAAATTTGGTTAGTGTTCTATTTTATAACTACGGCAACTAGGGCAAGGAGTAGGGGGCAGTCTGTGGCTTAAAAACACCACAGTTTTGATTTCCCATGATATTTAAGAATACGATATTACGTACCAGTAAGTAAATCTACCTGGGTATTCGATGTTTCGATACAAGTGGTAACCATTTCTAAATCACAAAGACCTGACAGTTTGAAACCCCAGCATTGTAGAGTGATCGGGAAAGCCTTATACAATTTAAAGGCAAGTAGTTGCCCGGACTTCTGTCACAGCCAAAGTTAAATAGATGTTTTCGTAACTCATTATTGTTTAACCATAGTGTTAAAATGTAACTAACTTGTGTAATCATCTTTTTTTTATTAGACTCGGGTGTGGGAGGACCAGAATACTTCGCCCGGCGAGTATCCCAGCACGGTGGCGTTGGTAGAGCGCGATCACGCTGGTATCTTGTGTGGTGGTGTCATGATAACCAACAAAAATATAGTCACATCTGCACATTGCACCACAACGAAGATGCCGGAAGACTTGAACGTTTTAGCGGGATATCGTGATACATCCACCGGTGGTAATTCGGTTTTACTTGTTCTATTTTCGAAACAGGAATGAAATTCATGTCTATACTAAACATTCTACGAATGCAGTGTTATCTATACTAATATATAAAGCTGAAGAGTTACTTTGTTTGTTTGTAAGGCGCTAATCTTAGGAACTACGGGTTCGAATTCCCTGAAACATCGCGCTGTGACTAATAGAAGCCGGGGAACAAAACGGGGTAAATTTTTCATCGCTGTGGGTTTCAGATGCGAACGCTGCGAAAACGGTTCGAAATATCTAAAAATATGTAGGAAAGAATGACCTCTTTAAATAATTTAAAAAAATCCGCGACGCTATATGTTTATCTTTAAAGGTTAATTTGCAAGAACGACGGGAAGGGACGCGACACGACGTCAATCTTTAGTTTATAAAGATAAACGGGTTTGCAAAAAAGGAATTTGGATGCCCAAAATAAATATTCTTAGTGGTCGAAGTCGCAGGCACAACTAGTAATTTATATATTTAAAGTTGTAACAGTGACTAAGTTGTAACAACTATCTTGACGCATTCTAGTGGCAATTGCTGGCAAGAAAGCCTACGGAGTGCTGAAGATCCAAGAACACCCCTCCTTTTATGGGTAAGCAATACTTACTTCTAATATTACAGACTAACCAGCGCTCGCAACTAATTGTGCCTCATGTAAACCTTGATGGTTTTTTTATATAATCTATTTTAATATATAAAGCTGTGGAGTTTGTCTGTTTGCTTGTTTGCTACTAACTATTTGTTACTGGTAATCGAGAAATTCTTTTTGTCTTGGTTAGAGCATTTATCGAGGAAAATTATAGGCTATAAACATCACGCTGTGACTAATAGGGGCGACGAAACAAAGGGAAATGTGAAAACGGGTAATATTTTTCATCACTATAGGTTTCCGATGCCTATGCTGCGAAAACGGTTCAACATAAATCCAAATACGATATGGACGTGATAGCTTATTCTTGCTAGCTAGTTACTATCTTCAGAAACAAATTTTTAACAAAGGGACTTATTTATTCTTACTTAACTGACCATGACAAAATTTATCAAATAATTTATTCCTCCTTAAATAAAACACTTTAACGGTTTAAAACGTGATATATTAACTTAACGAAACGTCGGGCCGAAGTTAAAAATAATTTTCAAATAAGTTTAACTAGCATATATCGCGTTCTAAACCGTTAAAGTGTTTTAATTAAAGTAAACGATATCTACTTCTATACACTTGTACCAATTTGCATGTTTTAACTATGTTTCAGTTATTACAATGACTATGACATCGCTATTGTGACATTGACAGAGAATATCGAGCTGAACGAATACGCTAGTCCTATTTGTTTGCCGTTTCGCTTCACATACGAAGACTTCGTCGGCGAGAGGCTTACAATAGTTGGTAAGGAAGGAAGCTAGAAATAATCATTTACACATATACGTTAAACAACTAAATGATTTTTTTTTTTCAATAAAGACTTGTAACGCTTTAAAACGCGAAATATTCCTTTTTTAAAATGTTGATAGATTTATGTTTATTATACTATCATGTGCATTACATGTAATAAATATTTAAGTTTTTAAACGTTAGACTCCGTAATTTCGTCTTAAGCTGCGTATCTCAATACGTGAGTGTTATGGTTGAAATTACGTGTTTTTATTCTTCGATGACTTGTAGGGCGCGGTAGCTCAATTAGTTAGAAGAGCAGCAACGGACGCTGGGATAAAAATTTTTAAATTTATTTTAGTAAACTCATTTAGAATCTACTCTAACTACGGCCCGACAAATATTTTTATATTTTTGCGTATTAAACAGTTAAAATAATTATTTTCATTTAAATGTGTACTACTCGTATAAACTACAGACTATAATACAATCTATTTGGCGATTCTTTAAGCTGATATTTGTTTGTTATCTAGTTACAAAAAATACATAAACTGTAGAAATTCAGTTTATTAGGAGATGCTATGCAATTACCTTTAAACTTTCTAGTATGAGTATTGACTGTAGTTAAATAAGTTTAACTAATATATATCTCCTTTTAAACCGTTAAAGTGTTTTATTTGAATGTGTTATTTAGGTTGGGATATACTAAGTAATGACGGTCCATCCGAGATCCTGCAGAAAGTACAGGTGGAGGTCATGCATCGAAACACTTGCGAACGCGTCTTCTCGAATGTGTCATGGCGTCAGATTTGTTCTTACTCACCTGGATTGGACGCGTGTGAAGTTTGTATTAAATTATTTTAAAAAGAGGTGCTTATTGCTTACAATGCATATAATAAGAGGCGTATTACTCTGTAATACCCGGAGTAATGAATAATTTTCAATTTATCACTGTATCGTCGCTTGCATTAGTCACAGGGCGATATTATAGCCTTCCTCAATAAATGATCTAACCAACACAAAAATAATTATTTTCAATTCAAGCTTTTACTTCCTGAAATTAGCGCATTCAAACGTACAAACAATCTCTTCAGCTTTATATATTAGTATAGATTTAGAACAATATCTTGCATGTATATTTCATATGTTATTTTTTTTTTTTAGTACGACTCAGGCGCACAGCTGATATACACAGACCGTAATACCGAAGCATTGTACCTGGCTGGAATCGTGAGCTCTGGTCGCGTGTGTGCTACGGCAAAGGCACCAGGGGTCCACACTCGCGTCGCTAAAATGCTCGACTGGATAGAGGCTACAGCGCCCGCGGAATACTGCAAAATATAAGATTTTGATTGACATATTGTATTTGTTATATTTTTACAGACACACTAATTGTATGAAGCTTTCGCAGCCTTTTGAAAAGCCTTATTTTGCTTTTTAGTCGAACTTCTCCCAATCTCATTTGCTCTTGGTAGCGTTGAGCACAATTTCTGAATTATGATGACAAACTGAAGGAGAAACGAAGTGACAATACAATATCTATACTAAGTATTGTAAAGCCGATGCGTTTGGCTGTTAACGCTCAATCTCAAAAATTACGGGTTTCTATTAAAAATTATTTTTGTATTGGATGACATTAGGCTATGTAACATCACGCTCAAGACAAATAGAACCGAGAAAACAGTGGAAGATGTGGAAAACCGGGAACCACCATTATTCGTTTTGAGGGTTCCTAGCGTGCGATGCGCAAAATGGTTTAAGAACCAACAAAAAAAGGGTTTAAAAAGAATGATTCATTTTTAAATAATTACATTTATCCGGCTTGTTCTTCAGTAAATCGATTGTGTCTAAGTGCCTCGGCGGGCGCAACGACATTTCAAGCCACTAGGTTTTATGTTCCTCCAGCGATTACGACAGACTTAGACATTAAAGAAAAAAAAAAAAACCCATAGGGCTTACAAGAAAAAAATTTAACCCAAGAAAAAAAAAAAAAAAAGAAAGGGAAAAACCAAAAAAAAAAAAATTTTTGGGGGCTGCGCGGGGGGAAAGATTTAAAAAAAATATGTTTTTTTATATATTTTTCTAAAGAAAGGTTTTTTGTTTTTTTTGAGAAATAAATGTCTTTGAATCTTAAAACCTTCTAAAAGTAAAAGAAACCGTGTCATTAGAGATACCGTCCATCTTCATACCGCCCGTGACCACAGCTGCTGCAAAGCATTCGAAACTTCGGGATAGTTAAAATAATCGTGCATAAATTAGCTAATAAATTTCGCGTTTTAAACCGTTAAAAGTGTAGTATAATCCTGAAACATAGAAAAGATTAAAAATTGATTCAGTATTTTGTTGTAAGGCGCCCTTTTTAATGCGTACTATTAACAAAGAATTAATTACTATTCTCATATAAACATAGGCCTTGAATTGCGTTGTTAGAATGTCTGTTATTTCCAATTCATCCATAGTTTACACTTGTTAAAAGTATAATAGTTATAATACAAATGGATATCAATAGAGTGTCGTTCATAAAGATAATCTACAATAATTTTCATCTATACTAATATTATAAAGAAGGACTTGTTATTGAAACACATTTTTTTTTCAATAGGCGAACCTTTATTGAAGAAGTTTTATTGGCTATACAATCGGCGGGACGTACGGCCGTCAAAGGGCAATATTCATTTTGAGCCTTCTTGTGTGTGCTGCGAGAACGGTTCAAAAAGCCAAAAATATGTATGTAGAAATGTATAATTTTTCGTTAAATAATCTGCAAAAATGTCCGCGACAGTATATGTTTATATGTTAAGATTGACTCGCAAAAACGACATAGGTAACAGCACAGTAATTTATAAAGCGGTTTTCGGAGGCTGTTCTGGCCCAAAGAAATATATAATGCCTCATAAAAAAACCAACAAAAACTATTGCACACGGACGATGTTGGTTCAATCGCGATTGGAGGCACAGGTAGTTAAAAATCGATAAATCTTATACGTACAACTAATGTCTAAACTAGATGCGCCGACAACCTATTTTTCGCCCTTGGACTGACACATAATCTTAAATAATCTTCATAGTTTTCATCTCTTTTGCATCATTGCTCATACGCAAAGTGAAGGAAAAAAGAAATAGAGGTTATAATAAAACTTTAAACTCATTATGAAGGTGTATTTATAAAAAGGCATTTCTGGCATATGTATAATTTCAAATTACTGGTTGAATATATAAAGTGAGGTCAGTTTAAAAATAAATTTAATTTATACTTGTCATCAAAGACACTTTAGTACCGCGACGAAGATGTTTAAACTTTTTTTGTGTTTCATAACTGTACTACCTGTGCTTGTCTTTTGCGATGAAGGTAATTTTTTTATATTTAAGCCAAATTTTCAGTACACACTGCAACCACGTAACAATGTTTTTTTTTGTCATTAAGGGTAACAGGTATTATCCCATTTAATTGTATTCATTTTTGGCTGCGAAGGACAGACAAGTATTAAGTTTTCATGATGGATTAAAATATAACATCAGAGTAAGATGTGTTGTCGACTTATTTTGGCTTAGGACATTCAGATTTCCATAAAAGGAAACCGATACGCCATTTTAGTTAAGGCTTTATTGGGTATAAAGTATAAACCTATCTTGTTCGCAGAGGAAACTAGAATTGTCGGCGGATCTAACGCACCAGATGGCGCTGTGCCATATATAGTTTCGATATCTCAAGAGTACGGGGGCAAATTGCATCACATTTGCGGGGGGTCCATTATTGACAAACATTGGATATTAACAGCAGCACATTGCTTTAGACAGTAATTTATTAATTCTAATTTGAATTTTGTAACGATCAGTGCCTGCATTAAAGGTTTTTGGTTTCCGTGGCCGGACTTTATTTGCGTAAAATAGTCATTTTGGACATCATAATTTGTTTTTACAAACCTTGTTCTCATCTTTATAAATTTTAGCTGATACCAACCCACGACGTCGTACGCGTCCAGTCGTTTGTGCAAGTTAATTTTAAAAAGTAGACAAACGAATACGGCCGACGTAATATGGCGAATCTGAAGTTCGCTCGAAACGCTGCGCAGATAATAATGTTCCGTCCTAGGATGTTAACGGTGGTAAGAGCGACGTGCGCAAGACGGAGATCTAAACTAGACTCGAATGTCAATACAATCAACGGTTTATTCTATAAAATTTCAAAGATTTTAATCTGATTTAGATTATGGACTTTAAATGTATGGTATATTGTACTTTAAAGATTTATGAACAAGTGAATAGTGTCTTTAATAAACGATACCATAATTGTACTTTTAAATTGGAAAAGTAAAATCATTAAAAAGTGACCTTTTTGCGTTTATCGTTAGAACGATGTGATATAGTAAGTATTAGTATAAGTTATGATATAAATAAATTTCTAAGGTACTAATTTTCTATTTTCAATCAGGAATCGATTTAATAAATCTGAGGGTATCGTAATCGACATTCGATATGGATTATTGGTAAAGCTTCGTACATTCGGCAAACGTTCGAAACACGATAACGAAATAAACGCCTTAGTGTGACCGAAGTAACGAAAATAAATGGCAGTATTAGTTTTCTTTAAGAGTGTACATGCGCCAAAGTTCGTCTAACCAATGTTCAGACATGCCAAGTTACGTCGGCCGTATTGTATTGTCACGGACATTTAGTGTCTTTTATATTTGCATTTATTTTTCAAATAAATTATATCTTTCAGAGAATTCACGCCTACAGTTGTAGCGGGCACCAACAATATCTCTAAAGGCGGTAAGCGTTATAAAGTCGGCTCTATTATAGTACATGAAAAATATCTTAAGTACAAGCCGGAATATAACGATATTGCTTTACTAAAGCTATCTACTGAAATTGAATATACTGAGAAGATTCAGCCAGTTGAACTGACGACTGAAGACCCAAAGCCAGGCACTGTTTGTATCCTGGCTGGTTGGGGATACGTTGATGTAAGTTTCGATAAGCTCAAATTCTTGATACACATTCTTCTACACTTGATGGTATGTGAAGTGCCTCAGCCGTAAAACTTCGTAATAAGATGTCCTGTCAACCTATATTAGCTTTGGATATCTGGAAATCCACAGACTGCAACATCTATGGTTGGTCGATGGCTCCTAAACCGGATGAAATTTCGATATTCCTACGATCCATTTAATATCTAGATTTTCAGAATAGAAGAATGCTGGACGCGTTGTAGATCGAACCCACGACCTATAGATTATTAGCCGTAAATTGCTATCGTTACACCAGCAAGCTCGTCAGGGAAATATTTTAAAACTACTATACCTGATTGTGTATTACTATAGATAACATCTATATATTATAATTTATGACATGCATTATCTGTCTTTATATTTTTTTTTTAAAGACAAAAGGAACTCTTTTGATTGTAAAACTGTATTATTTATGAATTATATATATGTTTTAATTAAATATACTGTTAAATTTCCAAACATTAAAAAAAAACGATACTTGAAGTCGATTTATCTAGAAAACATGAACAATCTAATTATAGAAAGATCGGAAAAAGCGTGCTACTGACTTACAAATCATTGAATTGAAGACGATATCCAAGGATTGTAGGAGAATGAGTAAAGTGGATAGAAAACAAAACATCTGCACCTTTACAAAAAATGGGGAAGGTGCCTGTCAGGTGAGAAAAGTGAAATTCTAGGTCGTAGCGAGTCAGAACGTTTTTGACCTGCAAATTCTGGAGTTTTTGTCCACTTTACAGATGCCACATGTCATAAAACTATTTTTTCCTGTTTATTATTTAAAAATTGATTGAATTACTACCACAACAGTTCATGATGTATCCCACCCAAAGCCGATTTAGAGGGCTCAACTTTTTTTAGTCAAGCCCAACAAGTACCTCTGACTTGTTTCATGGTCATAATTCAGAATCTCATTTTTGTTATGCCCCCCCCCCCCCCCCCCCCCCCCGTCTTTAAATCTGGCTCTGTCAACAACTGAACTTATAATTTTACCTCCCGCAAACATATATTATGTGTACCACAGGGTGATTCTGGAGGGCCACTCGTCGCGAAGGCATCTAAGAAACAGATTGGAATCGTGTCTTGGGGAGTTCCCTGCGCTTATGGAAGTCCTGATGTCTATACAAGCGTATATGCCTACAGGGACTGGATTAATAAGCACATTAAGAAATAAACTTGAGTCATATAATTTGTTTTAATTATAGAACACTATCTTGTTCAGTACATTACGCTATATGAAACATACTAATAATTTAACTCAATTTCAAATTTAACACATTCTGCAGAATGAACGTAGATTTACGTAAAGAAATTATTTAACAAGTTTAAAGAAAACACATTTAACGTCACACATAATAAGCAAGTAATTTTCAATTACGAACCGCCATTTCCGATGCTTTATAGCAATCATGATGATGAGTTTTAAACCGTTTTAGGTGTTTCATTTAGATATGCGCTACTCGTGTAAACTACTATCCCGCTGCCCCACTAAATTGTAAATACCGCATATATTATATCTTTGGCCTTGAGATAGAACATACAATGATATCGCCCCTAACTTTACAGGAGAGCGATTTAAAGTGAAACATGAGCATGAAACTTTCCAGTAATACCGTACATAGTCTTCCTCGATCGATAAAACACAAAACGAATTTTTCAATTCGGACCCGTAGTCTCAGAGATTAGCGCGTTCAAACAAACAAACTATGAAGGGTTTATTTTTTTTATTAGTATAGATTTAAATAAAAAGTTAATTAAACTTTAATAATAACTAGGACAGATAAATAAGGCTTTTGCAATATTATTTTATATGTACTCAAATTATTTGCTTTAAAGGGATAAACCCTTTAAAGCAAATAATTTATTTATAAGTTCTCGTATATATGTTTAGATCGGTATATTAAAAACAAAGTAAATATGGAATAATTTATTTAGAGACGTGTATATCATTTATTCTTGTCCATTTTCTTCGGTTTCCTGTGCTGCTTCAGCTGGCAGATACAAGTGCTTGGTCTTCTCCACTTCCTCTTCCATTTTCTCAACGTATTCAGCAGTCCAGGCACCTGGACAGTTGTAGTGACGAGATAGCCTCACCCAATCCCAATGGGTGACGAAGTTCATCTGACCCATGACACCTTCGTGGGCCTGGAAATAAATGTTTATTATTCACTAGTTATGTCAGCAACTTCGACCGCGTAGAATAGTTAAATTGGTCATTCATATATTTTATTTCCTAAACTCCTGTTCAAATACTGATATAACATTTCAACCCACCAGGATTCGAACCTGGGACGTCGTGATCTGCAGTTGAGTGCACTAACCATTACACCAATGACGTCGTTGATTTTAAAGTGTATTTTTTAAATTCGTTTTACTATTTAATTACAAAAACGTATTCTAACAATACTAATGATAAAGAACCGTCAAGACTTGTGTGTAGTTCCGAATATTCAAACCTAATATAGATCGACGGCGCATCTTGTTTAGATGTTATATGGCTGGGATATTTCGTTTACCATCTCGTGAACCCCTTGCTTCCCTGTCCCCCTCTTTCATAAGTAAGTTGTGGTGTTGATCACCAACTAGTTTAACTTACCCTGGTAGCTGAGATGGTAGCACGACCATTGGTACTGAAAGCATGAGAGCTGTAGTGCATGCAGCTCATGTGCTCGTAGCGAATGCCCAGGTTGCTAACCATGTTATTTTCGTACCTCTCGAAGTTGTGTTCCATACCTTTATAAATAAAACATCTTTAATTTGTCATCAAAGACACAACTTAAAATAATTGTAGTGTTCAAAATCAGTGTGTGCCGTAGCCTGTAGACCCGCACTCGGGTGAGCATCGTTCAGCTCTTCGACATCCCACAGCGTTAATAATAAGTGTGAAACGTTATAAATTTTCACACGTTTTTCCCTTGTAGGGTGTGGGACACATATATTCTCTCCCCCAAACAGGTCCAGGACCTCGGCATTGCTCAGCAAAACTGAGCTATGGCCGCCATCACATGACAACTACATATAAATTACACATTTACATGATATTTCAATCACATAATTGGTCTATATATTAATTAAAAATCTCACCAATAGAAAATAGATTTTACAGAGATTTTTAGAGTACAAAACCATAATTTAAATTGGTTACTTTGTTTCTGGTACTAGCTATGAAAACAAAATCTTGTATAATAAAGACTACCATATAATTATTCACTCTTCAATAAAACAATACCACTATAATATTCTTAACATATATACTTACCACGCTGTATATTTTCCCAGTGGATTCTAACATAGTCGTATCTATTGTAAGTGGACTGCATGTGGAAGAAACCAAGCACGTGCAAGAACTCGTGGATGATGATGATGATGTTCTGGCAACCGGGTTGCTGGAGGTTCAAGGTGTGGATGCCTCTGTCATGCCACCAACCCACGCTGGCGTAGCAACCGTTATTTTGAGCCTGATGTTTAAACGAAATTGGAATTAAGCATAGATGATCTTGTCTGTTTGAAACATCAACAAGATCCATAAAACTAGTGTATAGAGTATACACTGCAATAAATAAGTTTAAATCTTAGAATAAAAACTATAGGAATGGTAATTAGTAAATCAATCTTGAAAATAATAGGACTGCTAATAAGATTTGGTGGGATCTGCTCCAACAAGAAATAAAATGTAATACACTTTAACGACGTTAATGTTCTAAAATTAGACTTAGCAATAAAGGAGGGGGGCCGCGGGTTTTTTGCTAGTTCTTCTCGTTCATTCTACTCCCTTTTTTGACAACTGGGTAAATAGATGAGTTTTGTTTTTTAGGTTCAAAAGTGTACCTAGTTTCCTACCTTTAGTAAAATTATTCACCAAAAACAAACATTATTTAAAGTCCTACACGACATCTAAAGTGTTGATTTGAACATACACAGTAATCCATCACTACTTGGATGATGACTTATACTCCTCTCTTAATACTTGTTTAGATATTCTTACGACAAATTGACGAAATTGAACTTACCGTAATAAGGACGTAGTTTCTGTCATTGGCGTTTCTCCTACGGAATCTGACACAGCCCGAGTAGTGAACGATGTGTCCGATCGACCATTCGATGTAATCTATCTGTTGTTGATCTATAAATGGGGTGTAAAAAACGTTAATATCATTCCATACAAAGATAACTAGCATTGATTTCTATTGGAGATCGAAAATGAAGATAAGTTGTCAACACATCCTACTAGTTTTTACACCTGAAGCATTTCCCATAATATAAGTGATGCTTATTTTTTATAATAAAGAACGGCAGAGAAGTGTGGGATCCACTTGATGGGAAATGAAAATACAAGATGCGCTGTTGAGCTATACTGGCTTTGGATAGTTGGAAATTCACTGACGGAAACCAACATGCGATTAAAGTTAACGAGTCCATATCATAATCATCATAATATCTCTGTGTTTCTTTATTTTGTTCACTATCTAACAAGAAACTCACTGAAATGTCCAGGGGCGTAGTCATAGACAACGGTGTTATAGGGCCACTTTGTGTTGGGGAAGATGTAGGCAGCTCTGCCATCCGCGTAGGATTTTACCAGCTCATCAATCTGCCAGTCGTCCAGGATGATGTCGCCTTCAAATTTTCCACTCTGCTCCCAGATGTTGCCGAAGGGGTTTAGAGCGCTGGAGGTAGTCTTGAAAGCCTCACCTGTTAGAACATAACAATCAGTATCGTCAAGGCAAAATGATATAAATTACTAATTTGGGTTATGTCCTTATTAAAATATCAATCACGAAATGATTATGTCAAGTGTTCATTTTCAAGGTTAGATTTCTAGATTTCGATTTGAAGTGATCGCTTTTAAAGCGATAAGGTCTCTATAGCATGTCATCTGGATTTTAGTGTAGTACCTACGTCGTTTGACATATCGGCACTTATTGTGTTCATTAATTTCGTTTTTCCTACAGTAACAATGTTTATATAGATGCAAGACTTCTCCCTAAATAATTGATCAAATAACTTCCAATATGCTCGCATTTTTTATCATAGAGGACGACGGACAAGCATATGGTTCACTTCATGGTAGGTGAAATATCCCAGCCTATAGCATCCAAACAAGATGTGCTGTCGCCCCTTTTTGGTTTTGGATATTCGAAAATCCATAGAGTGAATCGAATGTTCGTGACCCGGAATTGATTATAAAAATGTTGGACACGGTGACGATCGCACCTACGACCCGTTGGTAATTAACCGTACAGTCGATTAGAAAACAACGTTTTCTAACTTAAATAAAACATCGCTCACAATGATATAAGTTAATACTCGGAATTGAATCCAAAATAAATTAATACTACTAATTACTCATGTATTACAAAAAATAATAAATTAAAATCTAGATATAAATCTAGAATTTAATTCACATTTTTTGAGTAACTATCTAATCTAAATACAATCTGAAATTTCAATCATTGTAATTGTAATTAATAAAGATAAATGTAATTACGTTATATAATCATAATCTAAACGCCAATACAAGATTACAATACGGCTTTGTCTGTAAAAGATAAATGTTTGTTTGTAAACATTGAAGGAATTCATACCGCGCTATCAGTGTTTTCGTATTTCTCGGGAAAGTAAAGTCTATAGGGTCTGTCCGTCGAACTATAATAAAAAAAAATACCTTTATATAATTTCTGAAGAAAACAGATTCATAGAAATACAGGGAAAATTTCCACATTTACAAACTAAAAATTTAACGTCAAAAACTAATCTGAGCAATATAAAAACAACACAGACCGCCGTCATATGCCAACATGTAAAAAATTTTCAAACGTTAAGCTCTGTAATTTAATTTTTAGTGATTTCTTAAGCAACATAACATAGAACGTTGAACCTCAATACGTAAGAGTTAAGTTTGAAATTACATTGCCCACAATGATGTACACGGTAGCTCAATTGGTTAGAGCAGCAACATGGAACGCTGTAGATGCCGGTTCAAGTCCCGCCCGAGTCGTATTTTTTTAGATCTAAATTGATATTAAATAAAAAAAGAAGTGTTATGGGTCTCATCATTATGCCTAAATGAGAAGGAAATAGAAGTATAACAAATAATAAGTAGATGATATTTATGTTATCTTACATGAAGACTAAAATGAAACATGGCGATAAAAGAAACGGCGAGTTTCCTACCAGTTCTTGATTTGAGAAATGGTAGTAAATGCAAATTTAGTCTTTAGGTTTTAACTGATGTGACGTTTGTAAGAGACATAATAGAATTACATACCATGCCTAGTGCTCTGCAAGAACTTCCTGTATTCTTCGACTTCGTCCTTAGTCCTTAGCGGAGAAGGGCCGCAGAGGGCAGCACCCACCAGAAATAACAGTACAGCGAAACGAAGCATTGTTTTGTGCATCAAAATAACAAATCACTCAATTTATATAGCATTATTATATGATTGCAATCAGCATTATCAAAATTAATGGCGATTTTAAATACACCAATATCGATTTGATGAATGCATATCGCGATGCGGCATCGATAATTTTTTTAGGCTTTCGGATTTATTTCTCTAGATTTCCCGTAACTGCAAAAGCACCCGAAACCTCCGGCCATATTTCAATAACTTGTAAATTTCGCGTTTAATGGTTTAACATTAAAAGTAAATTATTTTCATGTATACAACTCCCATAACCTACAGGCAATACTACAAGAAAAGTTAATGGGTCTAACTAAGTTACTACTTAAACGTTTTAAAGGTAAGTTGTGCATCGTAACTCTCCGTGACTGATAGTATTTATTGTTTCCCCGAGAGTCGAATTCAGGGCTTGAGAGACTTAAAATTTGACGATGACGTGTAGGATACGGTAGCTCAATCAGTCAGAGCACAAACACGGAGAGCCACCGATTTAAATTCCGCCCGTGTTCTAAATTTTGCACAACTTTTCATTTAATAACTTATATAACAATTTGTTGGGTGCAAAGTTAAGTTTGTTTTTTTTAATAAGTTATTCTCTGCAATAAGAGAACTTTTAAATAAAACACTTTAACGGTTTAAAACGCGATATATTAGTTAAACTTATTTGAAAATGATTTTTAACTTCGGCCCGACGTTTCGGATGCTCTGCAGCAGCCGTGGTTACGGGGAGACGGAGAGTCTCCCCGTGTCGAATATTTGTCACATGTTGGCACATGATGGCGCTATATAATTTAAAAATAGAAAATAAATTGAAAAAATTCGTGCTGTGTGACACGGAACGCTGACGACGATGGCGGTTCAAGTCCTGCCCGAGTCGAAAAAAATATTTCAATTTATTTTCGATTTTTAAGTTCTATAAGTATGTTCAGGCATGTTATTTTTCATTTCATTTATTTTCATTGTCATATCAATTATTTTTTTATCCCTTTTCCTGTAAGGAGCTTCTTGTAGATATGTTTTTGTAAATTTCTAATGATAAGACACTGATAATAATAAGGTTAAGAATATAATTTCTTCTCAAAGTGTGTGTGTTTGAGAATAATTTAAACTATTAATCGCTTTTGTCTGATTTTTATTAAATTCCCTTCAATACAAGTTCTCTTATTAAATACTGTCTATAGTTCACGCGAGTAGTACACATTTAAATAAAACACTTTAACGGATTAAAACGCGATATATTAGTTAAACTTATTTGAAAATGATTTTTAACTTCGGCCCGACGTTTCGGATGCTTTGCAGCAGCCGTGACCACGGCAAGTTTAACTAATATATCGCGTTTTAAACCGTTAAAGTCATCAGAGTTTCATTAATCTTGTTTAATAGTACATCGCTATTATTGGGCACAATAATATCAATTTGGAGCAAGTAGCTACATAAACTCAGTTTCGATTTTGTATATTTTTATTTTTATCATTCGCTGGTATTCTTTTTAATCCAGTCCACGAAGGAGAAAACCCTCGTGAAGACGTCAGGTCGACCACGGGCACAAGATATGACCCAGGAAGCTAAGCCAACCACTTCTTTCTTGTACACAACTGGACCACCAGAATCGCCCTGGATTCACAATATTTTCTGTTTGTTTTTTGACTTAGAATACAAGTTAAGTTAGCTATATATAAAATTTAATTAGATTGAATATATTTAGAAATTTAACCTCAAAATAATTAAAATGTAAATGTTACCACAAAAATTATTGCTTTTCGGTTGTTACGCCATGAATAAGACGAATAATGATATTAAACTTACTTCTGACTACGCAAAATCCTTTTGTCTTAAATTGTGTGTAATAATGTGTGCGTAAAAAAATGTTTGTGACATACCTGGCAAATGCCTTGGCCCTCTGCTTTGTAGGTGCACAGTTGACTGTCAACAATTGGATTTGTCTTCTTGTATACCTTCAATGCACTATCCTGACATTCCTTTACTGATAGCGATTTGACCATCAGCTTTTGCAGGTCGTTCGGTGACTGTCGACCGTATCTGTTGTTCTAAAATTAAAATGTTATTTATGAAAAAGTACTTGAGCTCTAACAGCCAATATGTATATCTATTTAGCAAAAGGAAACACATGAACACACATATACGATAGCTAGGATGTAACAAAAAAGAATAAAGTTAACATGCCTACTAAACAGTTTCACATCATATAGATTAAAGAAGGGACATATCCATGAAATATTACATGATATAAAATAAAATGTATATAATAATAACATGATTACTTAAAGGGAACACTTTAACCATTTAAAACGCGATATATATTAGATAAATTATTTTAACTCCGGACGTTTCGGAGCAGCAGCCTCGGTAAGGTTATTATTATTATACGTTTCAACCACAGATAACTTATTAAACAACACAACAACATTTGGAGGTTTTTTAGTTTTAATGATAGATAAAAACACTCACGGTGGTGTATCCCCATCCAGAAGCAATCAAATCAACTCCGCCAGGTGTGTTCGAGGATGCCAAGGAGATGTTTGCTACCTTGTCACCGAACTTAATCTCCTTTTTGAGCTTCAGAACCTCAACGTCGTTCAAGAACGACTTACCGTCGTATTTCTCATGGGTGATAACTTTCTCAACTTCGTATGTGTCGCCGCCAGAATCTAATTTGTTTGTCCCTGTTACGACTCTGATTTTGTCAGCTGGGTAACTGAAAGTCCACTCTTAAAGTATTGTCGGTACGATAAAGAATCAACAAAGTAAATGTGTTCATGTAAATGTGGAAAGCGAAAATTCCTTGTGCCAGCATTTCCTCAGTTGTAAGCTTGGGTTGACATAATCGTGTTGTTCCGTCATCGATTATATTTGCAGAGTTAGCTTTAATTATGTTCGGGCTGAGGATTCGAATCCAGGTTTTGACAGGCTCCTTGATCTAATACATATTAGCAATGTATGGCTATCGAAAACTTTATTATTTTTTACATGTTATTGCACATGAAGGCACTATATAATTTAAAAATCGAAAAGAAATTGAAAAAAATTTCGACTCGGGCAGGTCTTGAACTGGCATCGTCAGCGTTTCGTGCTGTTGCTCTACCAATTAAGCTACCGAGCCCTACACCTCATCGTCGAATTTTTTCAACTTATTGATACATGCACCTATCGCGCAATGTAATTTCAACCTTAACACTTACATATTAAGGTTCAAAAAGGTATTAAGGTGCTTTGCAGCTTAAAAAATCATTGAAGATGAAATTACAAAGTTGTAACGTTTGAAAACTTTATTATTTTTTACATGTAATTGCACATGAAGGCACTATATAATTAAAAAATCGAAAATAAATTGAATTTTTTTTTTGTATGACTATGGTATAGTCAACGCGTCGTGGATACGATCCCTACCGAATCTAACTTGTTTCTAACCATTTTATATTTTTCATGAAATAAGTTACTCGGTCTGGGTGTTAAACTGGCGAAAGGAATATTCAAATTCCGAATCACGAAGTACACACATAAAAGTTAAGTTCGCGTTCCGGTTTCAATCTTGTGATTTCCCAATATTTAATGCCAAATTAGGTGGTCAGCGCTACGAAATTGTAGTATTTTCGCCAAAACAGCTTACAGCCAATGGAATAGTGACACTAACGTGAAGTCAATTATCCTTATATCCTTATAAAAGATTGTTTAAAAGAGACATCGCTAACTCAGTTTGACGAAAGTCACCAATAAATATATAAATAACTATAGTAGTCAATCAATTGTTGATTCAAAACTTACTTGTGAGTCAGAGTACAGTGGGCAGCAGATAAGATCCATTTCGGTGAAATGATCACACCACCACAGAAATGGTAAAGCTTATTGTTGGATTTTATTCTCAGCGATACCTGATAAGGGAATTCGCCATCTGCCGCATTGCTACCTCCCAGAATACGAGTTTCTTCATCGCTGCCACTGTCACTATCATTATCTGAAAGATCAAGAAACCAAAAACGATGTAGCAGTTCTGATTCTTCAGCCTACACTTGTAGTTTAAGTATGCACTTATAAGTAACATATTTACTTAATAATAATTATAATAACACTAGCTGTGTCAGCGACTTCGTCCGCGTAGAGTAGTAATTTTGCGCATCCAAATTCGTTTTTGCAAATCTTTTCATCTTTATAAATTTAAGATGTTACCCACGACCTCGGACGCACGCCATCTTGCAAGTTAATCTTAAAACATAGACATATAGTGCCGCGGACATTTTTTTAGATAATTTAAAGAGGAATCATTCTTTATACATTTTTTTTTTGTGTACACCGTTTTCGCGTCAACCCACAGAGATGAATAATTTTCCCTTTTTTTTCCACATCTCCCGCTGTTTCTCTGATCCTATTAGTCACATCGCGATGTTTCATCTCTCTTCAACTTTATATATTAGTATAGATCAAAGACTATCTTTTCTATTCAGACACATAAATTCGTATAAACTATAAATGAAAAAATCTTACCCTGCGCACTGCAAGCAACAGCTAAAATGACGAAGAGAAGAAACCTCATTCTAAGAGTAAAGATAGACAAAGATAAGTGACAGAATTGTCCTAAATCCTACTATATATAGTTTTTATTTTTTGGTGAAACGTTAGGCCGTGTTCATAAAGAAAATCAACATGGTTTTTTGAATATTCATTTTAATTTCAAAAAACAGCATATCAGCAAACGCGAAGACACCGTTAGTCAATTCTGCAAGGACCCGGCCAATTTCGCCAAATACCAACTTTGACGGAACAGATGGCGCTAGCGTAGCAGGTTTTTACTATGACGTCAGAGACACCCTCCATCTTTAGTCTACCCGTGACTACGGCTGCTGCAATCGCGTTTTAAACCGATAAAGTGTTAAAGTGTTTTATTTAAATGTGTACAACTCAAGTAAACGTCGTCGATGTGTGTGTATTATTGAACTAGGATATTCATTATTTAGCTTTCCAGCCGTTCGCATAAACAGTTGCTATTATAAAAGGCATATTTAATACATTAACATATAATACGTTGTTATGTATTTTATTTCCTATATGATGCTGCAAGCAGAAAGTAAATCACGAAAACAATATAATAATTTAAAAAAAAAAATCAATTTATTTTCGATTTTTAAATTATATAGTGCCTTCATGTGTAATAACATGTGAAAAATATTAATGTTTTCAATATAATAATTTCCAGATATTTGTATTTTCCTTTTGTATATTTAAAACTTCGTGATACAAATTGTGGCGGAATTCTTTTCATTAGTTCTAATCCTTTTAATAGTTCTTTATATACCTACGTCAATTTACTCAGCTGTTACATGAATATGTACTTGTGTATGAGTTATGTTTGTATACTGTCTAATTTTCATACTTAGATTTTAACCATAGTTGATGTTCTAAATTCATTACTAAAAATCATATTTTTCACGTTTTATCGTAATAATATCTGCTTTATATAGAAAATCCAATAGTGACGTTAAGATACGATTAGGTTCTTTCTTATCCTAATTAATGCCTTAGTCCAGGCGGTGTTCTACAATTTTTTTTTTAACTTTATTATTGTTGACGTGTTATTGCACATGAAGGCACTATATAATTTAAAAATCAAAAATAAATTGAAAAAAAATTCGACTCGGGCAGGACTTGAACCGGCATCGATTTTCTTGAAGTACTCTAGCCTATGAAGATATTGAAGTCAAATGTGGATTCCCAAAAATTATCGCATATATATTTATAAATGAAAATAGAAAAATAATACATGTTTAAATAAAACACTTTAGCGGTTTAAAAAGTTATATATTAGTCAAACTTATTTGAAAAATTATTTTCAACTTCGGCCCGACGTTTCGGATGCTTTGCAACAGCCGTGGTCACGTGTCTCCTCGTGACTACAGCTTCAAGTTTAACTAATATGTATCGCGTTTTAAACGGTTAAAGTGTTTTATTCAAATAAGTACTACTCGCGTAAACTACAGACAGTATGTTGTAAACTCCAGACTATTCTGAAAGCGATCTGTAGTTTACGGGAGTGGTACACATTTAAATAAAACCCTTTAACGGTTTAAAACGCGATGTACATCAGTTAAACCTATTTCAAAATTATTTTTAACTAAGGCCCGACGTATCAGAAGCTTTGCAGCAGTCGTGGTCACGGGGAGACTAATATATATCGGCTGCTATATCGCGTTTTAAACCGCTAGAGTGGTTTATACTGTTTATTTTCTTAATATCTCGTTGATTCAATAGTACATACATAACAATGTATCTTTAATCTTATTATAAATACATACATTGTTATCTTATTTAATCTAATTATAAATTAATGTAGTCTATGTATATATTGTATAATGGGTCGTCGATTTGACACTCTCCGGGTTTCCAAAATCAGTTAATATTAATTCTAAAACATGTGGAAGAATTGGACGTTAAGTCAGAGTCACGACTACATATAGAAATGGCCGTAAAGTAAAAAGGCGGTTTCAGTCATTAAATTTCTGAATGTTAAAGCCAAAATAGATCGACAGGACGATAGCACCTCTTGTATGTTGGGTATATCACCTTCTATCAAGTGATAGTAGATACCTTATACTTATCTATCCTGTTCTGTTATAATAAATTGTGATCTATCAATTCAACGATACAAAGACAATTTAAATCATTTTCTGTCACATCATTAGTAACTTTACAAAAGTGCGACAGGCACAAAGTACGTAAAGCACGCGTAGGACTCGGTAGCTCAATTAGTTAGAGCAACAGCACGGACGCCGTGGATTCCGACTCCCGCCCGATTCATTAAGTTTCATTGTAAATAGCTTTTTCATTAAAATTACACATGTGTGTGATATGTTGAGATTAGATAGATGTGTGTGTTTTACATAATAGAGGAGGACAGACAAACTTTGATTGAAAGGCTTTGATTTTTCGGAAATCCACCGATTATACCGACCACAGTTTGAGGGACTTGAGGGCTTTTTCATATATGGACGGTGGTTCGTAACCCGGACGGTCATTTGATATTTCTACCACCCATTTACTACTAAGACTTCCATACGAAGTCCAACATTATTGAGGAAAATAGAAAAATGATTACAAACATGTTGGAGTCGGTGGAGATCGACCCAACGACCCGTTGACTAGCCCTTCTAAAAGTTTGTTCAACGTGTCTCTCTAATCGAGTTATTTTTTTATAGATTATAATAACTAACTTAAAGTAAGTCTGATATATATGATTACTTAATACTATTTATTGACTAAATCTTCGTTTTCCCTTCTTGCTAATGATAAAATGTATACTTTTTTATTTATTTTACACAAAACGATTAATTATTAAAGATTAATGAAGTAATCAGCACGCGATTTCAATCGGATTTTTCGAAGTGTGTATTCTTGTATATTTTCGTATTTTATCATTTATAATTTTAATCAGTGAACTTAGCCTAAATAAGTAAATAATGAACCTTGAAACGATCTATTGTTTTCCAACAAATTCTTCTAATTTAAGTAAATAAAGATGGCATTACTCAAATTGAAGTGTAATTGTCTAATCAAAATGAATAGAATGAAATTAACATATTTCAAATAAATATACGCCAAACAACATAGTTAAGCCCCGCGGTATTACCACTATTTTACAGATTTTTCTCTTAATGATAATTCAATGTCTAGCTAACCATCAGTTCGTGGGTTCAATTCTCATAAGATGGAGCAGACACATTTCTGTGTCCGTATCACCAGTCGGTTCTTTTACACGCTACTTGCCTGTATCCCCGGGATTTGAACCTCGGACTCCATTTAGCTACAAAGATGGTTAAAAAGTCGAGAACCATTTTTTATTTACGACAGCCGACACAAATATCCTTTTCGAAATATCCCCGAAAAGCCACAACAAAATAAGTTTCTAAAATATTTACTTTGGAAAGACAACTTTCTCGTTTTCAACTTACATCCAGACAAATAAACATTTTAAATTAGATATATTCAAAATTAATAACTTTGTTTATTATGCGCAGTTAAGGCGGCTGTTGTTGTCACATAATATATTTAGTTACATAATACATATATAAAGCTGAAGAGTTTGTTTTCATGCGCTAATCTCATGAACGGGGCTCGAATTGAAAAATGTTTGTTTTGGTTAGAAAATTTATCAAGCAATGCTATAAGCTATAAAAAAACGCGCCGTGACTAATAGAAGCAAAGATTCAATGAAAACATGTGAAAACGGGAAATGTGAACAAATAGGGCAAATTTTTCATCTCTGTGGGTTTCAGGTGCGTGCTGCTTATAAATATGAGGTCGATTCTATTGTGTTTATGTTTAACTAGCTGTGTCAGCGACTTCGTCCATGGAGAATATATAATCTATATCTTTATAAATGTAAGCTGCCCGCGACTTCGGTCGCGACCCGTCGTTCGGGTCCCGTCATTCCTGCAAGTTAATCTTAAAAGAGAGACATATCGTGCTGCGGATTTTTTTTTAGATCATTTAAAGAGGAATCATGCATCGGTAACTCAAAGAGATGAATAATTGTATCCGATTTTTCCACATTTCCCGCTGTTTTTCGCTTCTATTATACCCAGTGTGATGTTTTATAGCCTAAATATTTTCTAGTTAAATGCTCCAACCAACACAAAAGTTAGACACCAGTTTTCTAAGATGGTCGCGTTCAAACAAACAAACTCTTCAACGTTCATATTAGTAGTTAACTAATATGAACGTTATAAGTTTATTGTCAGATCGTCTGTCTCGGTGTTAACGAAAGTATAATTTTTACCTAAAAATTACACTTACCTAACCTAACCTAACCTAACTAAGATATAACATTTGAATGGAATCTTTTTGAAATCATCCTTTACAAAATGGTACTAAAGTACTATATTATAAATAAAAATCGCGCTGATAAAAATATTTCATTTGTGATGTTCAGATATATTATATTCGATCTTTGAGTCAGCTCTCATTATATAAACAAATTTAGAGAGATAAAATGATAATCTACCGATAAAGCGACTAACACTAGGAACTACGAACTAACAGCAAAATATTCTATATAATTTAAAAAACGAAAATAAATTGAAAAAAAATTTCTACTCGGGCAGGACAAAAAACAAAACAATTTATTTTCGATTTTTAAATTATATAGTGCCTTCATGTGCAATAACATGTGAAAATTATAAATGTTTTCAAAATATTCTATAGTTAAATTAAATGAAAAAGAAAGTTGTTCATCAAAATTTGTCTTTATTTTTCTCTATGTATAAAAATATTTCTATAGCTCTAGAAAATAAAGAATATCAATATAATACTTATTTATAGAATAACAAATGTAATTACAAAATATTGGACGCTATACCAAACTTGCTCTCCTTGTAATTTTTAATATAAAAATTATTTGGACTCTGTCACACTATTGCCATCTCTTTCACGCGTTTATATAAAAATTACAGCGTATTTTTACTTATAGTATCAGTTCAATATTACAATCAGCAATGCGAATTGTCCGATCGATCTTTTTTTTGACACCGAATTGCATAACACTATTTTTTATCTGAACTTTATTAGAAGTTGCAACACATTTAACGGTTTAAAACGGGAACTATATGAGTTATCTATGACCCAACGTTGTTAGTTCTATTATGATAAGATGTAAGTGTGAATCGAACCGTTAAAAGTGTTTTATTTATATCATTTTTGCAAAGTTGCCGACACAGCGAGTTGCTACCCATGCATTTTACAGCGACATCTGTTGGCGCACAACAAAATTGTCATTACAATCTCTTAAATAACATCGATGTGGCACATTTTAAATATAATTAAACTTAAACTAACTGAGCTCGATAAAATTACAAAACTATAAAAGTACTTGTGCCCTGATTATTACTGTATACTATTTAATCAGTATAAAATATATCTGTAAGGATTACTGTATTGCAGTTTATGCAAAAATTAAGTTTTTAAAGTACCAGCTTTATTCAGTATAAAAAATATATCGTTGACAATCATATAATCTCATTTATTTTACGTAAATATAAATAAATCGTTAATCTACGATGACTTTGATAAAGTACGAATTGTATAACTTGTATCGTTTTACGTTGCCTGCAAAATTACTAAGTTATAGTATAGTAGTATCAGATTCAAATCATATTACGTTGTATCAAGTAATGCTTTATCAAAATCACCATAGAGTTGTACATAATACTTCGTCAATACACACGAATGAGGAAATCTAAAGTAAAAGACATTCTAGTACAAATAACTAAGTCGCTCTACAATATATGCTAAGTATTGCATCAATACGAAGGGTTTGCTCAAAGCAAGCTTAATATTAAAATCGGCAGTGAGTACTGGTCGTATATCGTTCTATCGAACGAGCGAAAATTATACACTGTTTAATTGAATGGGTAAAATTTGAGTTAATCAACAGAAGCGTTCAAATTCGCTGAAGTAAAAAAGGATGTTTTAAAAAACGAAACGCAATAATGTGGATTAATTGCTTTTTCGTTTTACCTATTCAAATTAAAAGTGTACAAAAAATATAATAAAAATACCTTTTAATTGTCTTGGAGGCGATAACACGGTAAAACTTAGATTAAACTCACAGGGATATATAAATCAGGCAATTAAATATGTTTCGAAAATTCTTGCCTGTTATAAATAAATAGATGTGAACATATTTATGCAGTCTATTTTAAGCCCACAGATATAAGAAAAATAAGTAGCGTTATCGACTCCTCCATTCTTATTGCACAGATAAAATATGACACCTATGCACAGATTAACTAAGATATAACATTTGAATGGAATCTTATTGGAATTATCGTTTATAAAATGTAACTAAAGTACTATATTACAAATAATACAACGATGAAGGTTAAACCTTCCATTACTCGCACTAAACTGCACATTAACTAACGTTTAAGTAACTAACAATGGCAAAACTTAAGAGCGATTTGGCGCCATTTCTAAATTATAAAAAATGAGCGTAGATTATATTTCCCGCCCAAAAGTACGAATTTTTGACAGTTATAAGTTGACATTTTACAGACCGTACAAATTTATGTATAAGCAAGGAACCAGTCTAGGTATTGTTAGTCGTAGACAAACATCGTGTATCGTATTTATCTTTGTACAAGGTTAACCACAGTACATGTACAGCTAGAGATGACAGTTGTCCTACAATAAATGGTTCGCCACGACACTAACAGAACGCGCCCCAACAGACTTGAATTGAATTTTCAAGATTTTGAGTTACGATGTTTAATGGACTTATACCATAGATAATGAGGAGATTAAAATCTCCATGATCGTAAATACCTATCACTTTTCTACAATGAATATTTGTAATACGTGTTAATGAACAAGAGAGCTATGGCAAGAAAAAACTTTGAAACAAAAATAACTTCGATCTTAAACACAGGTTGTATAATTTTAAATACAACTACATCAATTAAATACGCAATTATGCAAGTACTTAATGACACTATCTTTGACTTGGCTTACAATACTTGATCCCTTGCCTGAATTATGTCAAAAGCTTGGCAGTGCAGAGTCACACATAAATAAACAAAATATTCTTTACACGAGTATTGCAAGTATAAAAAATAAATGCAATAGTTTAATATTATTTTTACAATCAGTTTTGCCGTTTAGGCTTTAAACTTTCCAAGCAAATCTTTTTATACTAGATGTTGTAGACTGTTTTTGTTACTAAACGAAATACCAGATACAACTACCCTTGAAATATGTAAGTTCATTAATTCACATATACAACGATAGTTGTATTAATTATAGATGTATATTTATTTTTTATAACGGTGATTTTGAGGGAAGTTCCTCAAAATTGACAGCCTAGCATCAGTATAACTACATTGGCACCAATATTACATATACAGTCACGCTTTGCAGTCTTATATTCAAGGCGAGAAGCTTATGAGGGCAGTTTCAATGATCCAATCTTTGAAATGTAACATGTAATGTAACAAGTCTTGTAATAGTGAAACAATAATTAATTGTTAATTTACATTTTACATTTTAACGATCTTGACAGGGCAAAGCGTATTCATAGCATTTACTACAAAAATCTTACTTGAGCAAAATGCTTAAAAAGGTTCGATCAATGTTCTTATTTGTTCTAGAGTATTCTGGATCTTGATTTCCATGTCAGTGGTCGCCTCTAAGCAGTTCCATTAGCAAGTTGAATGTTGGGGCTTCCCCGTCCTTTTTGTTCGTGGGGTTCAGCATTTCTTTGCCGACTTGCATGAAGAACTACAAAAAAGTATAGGATTTATAGTACTAAAAACTATTTTGCAAATGATCATAATGTGTTATTTTAATTGATTAGTTTTACTGACTAGCTTAAGAGGGTAGATGTAGAATAAGGTTTAGTTTTTATGACACATTACAGTTATAAATATACATAACTTAAAAATCTATTTAGATTGAAAAAAATACGACATGGGCGGGACTCGAGCCACATCCACAGCGTTCCGAGCTAACCAAATGAGCTGCCGTGTTATGATTTTCAACTTAAACAATTTTTTCATTTATATGCGCAAGAATGTGTGTAATGTTAAAGCTTTCAATCATACAAATAACATTTCAAATTGGCGTGTACATTTTCCTTGATGTCATGAATGAAATATTTGAAAATGTCAAAACAATTACGATTCCTATCTTTATTTATATTTAAATTAATGCCCTTAACTTAATGAGGCATAAAACTTGATTGATTTGTCTAGAATGTTAGGCAATCGAGACAAATCAATCAAGTTTTATGACGTAAAACGTAACCTTTCTAATCAGATTATTGAAAAGTATCTATACATAAAAAGTTATTTGTCCTTATGACTGATTGACGTATCAACGAATAGCCTAAACCTAAAGACCTGAAACTAGGACAGTATCTTTCTCGAGAAACCCCTAATGAGGTGTATGCTGCACGTTAGTAGACCCTTACGGGGGTAAAAAAGGTTTGTGTAACGCGGGTAACTTCGCGGGCTACCTGTAGTCAGTTTTATTGTTTGATAGAATTGGTATAAGTGTGAGATAAGAAGAAATTATCGCGGTTGTTTTTAATTGTTTTCGCTTCGAGGTAACGTCATATTACATTTTGGAAATTTTAATCTTAAACACACTACAGGAAATTGAAGTATTCAACAACCTTGCACTTTTGTTGTAATGAATTATGTGCTCGCTTTGACAACATATTCCCACTACCAAATAAATATAATAATATGTACGATAATTCTAGTCTTAGAGAATCCTTTCCATCATGTTTGTCCCAGCGCACTGGACAATATATGTGTGTCACTGATAGAACTTCTAAGTTTCAAACCTTTGAAATTCTATCAGTCACTACGAACCACAATAGTAAAATCCTAAAGTTCTACATTCAGTCTGCGGATGTAGTGAAACGGACATAGAAATGTGATTACCCCATACCAAGATACGCGTAGAAACTTTGAAACCGTCAGCGACAAATAAAATAATACTTTTCAAATATTGAATACGCCCCACGCGGGGAAACGGGATTTCACTTTTACAGCCAATATAGGACAGAACAAACTTAGATTGTTGGCTCGGACATTTCACCTATATGCGTTTGTTATTATTATTATTATTGTTATAGTTGTCATAAAAATAACAATATCCTCATTATTGCAACTAAATAATAATCACCTGACAAGTCCTCTGTAGTTCGGGTATACGCAGTAACAGTTCCCCGAATTTTGCTGGCGTATCCGGCGAGTGCGTCGCCGTATACGCTTGCAACGCTGCCAACGCCTTCTCTTGGGACGCGCGCACTTTCTCCGCTTCGCGTAACTCCGGCGCATCTATTCGAAATAAAAAGTTTATTTTAATGCTGATATTAGAAGATTTAATACGCAATATTATGACGATGAAGTGTATTAGTTTAAAGGAGAAATTTGGTGTCTCAAACTAAATGGAATTTTCTGTAGTCTTAAAATTATGTACTTAGTTTTTTTTTTACCACTAGGTACGTACAATATTTATTATTTACATACATATTTGTAAAAATGTGTAGACACGTTTCTATCTCTCTTTAACTAATTAATTTTATTTACAAGCAGTGTCAGCACCCTTTAATCAATTTTAGATTCAAAAACCTTTATCACAGGCCTTGAACCGACATCCACAGCGTTCCGTGCTGTTGCTCTAACCAATAGAGCTATCGTGTCCTACACGTCATTGTCGAATTTTTCCAACCGCCGGCGCAATATATCAACAGCCTTTATGAAACTTATATTTTACTGGGATGTGAACCAGGCACTTCTCTGTTTTATATAATGCATTTAACTATTGAGCTAAGTAGGTCTTAATGAAAGGTATTTTATTTATGACATACCAGAAGTGAGTAGGACGATGACCTTCAAAGCAACATATTCATATCTGTCTACCCTCAACCGTCTTAAGTGATCGGTAAAGCTGAGCATTCTTTCTATACATGGAGTTAGGCCGTATCTGAAACAACATGTTTTTTATTAACAAAAGATTATTAGTTGTTGCTAAGGACAATATGCACAAACCAAAAGAAATATAAAGTGATGTTTAGATCCAGATTTTTTGTTTAATTTTTGGCACATAAAAGATAAAGCTATCAGTTTAATATGTTACTATTTCTCTTTGCAAGTCTATGAAAAGCATACAGAAGAAAATGTTGAATATACACAAACCTTTATGTCTAAACTAATATTATAAAGCTAAGACTTTGTTTGAAAACGCGGTAAACTCAGGAACTACTGAGTATTGTGGATAGACCATTTATCGAAAAAGCTTTCGGCTATACAACATCAAATTGGCACCAAAAGGCACGAAGAGACAGTCGAAAAAAAGGGGAAAATGACTCATGTTTGCCGGCGTACGCGGTTAAAAAAATTATGAAAGAATGATGCCTGTTTAAATTATCTAAAAAATGTGTGCACCGTATATATCTATTTTTTAAGATTAACTCACAAGAACCCTTTTATGGTAATCAAAGTTGGTCGAAACTAATGCATTATTACAAATGATATCTTAGTAAACAACAAAACGTTTGTCGGTACAGCTGGTATGAATATATTGAACCATGCTAAAATACTTACTTTGCACTCTGATGAAGGGTAATTCCTCTGCCTCCACCTACCCGCACTTCCCCTGGCGTGCTCACACCGCGATAACAACACGACAGCACCAACAACTCACACCAACTATTTATTAGAAGGCATATTTGATCGTCGATCTGTAGAAGAGACAGTTTTTGTAAAAGTTTATTATACAGACAATTCTCTTATCTGGTCATTGTGTTAATTATTAAAAAAGAAAGAGGTAATAAATAATAAAAACATACTTCTTATTATTATTATTTGCGTGTTTCTTGTTAAGTAAATAACAACAGGGAAAAAATATATAGCCATATGTTTTGGATAACCATTATAAATAAATAGTTAGCTCTAGCGACTTTCGAGTTACGCTTGTAAACATAATGTATAGTACTAGTGTAGAGCTAAAGAATTTGTTTGAACGCGCTAATATAAGGAACTATTGGTTCGAAATAAACAAACATTTCTTGTTGGTAGGAACATTTTTCTAGGAAGGCTGTAAAATAACTGAAGACTATAAAATATCAGGCTGTGTCCAATAAATATGTGGAAAAAGCGGGGAAATTTATTAAACTTTGGGGGTTCTTGTTGTGTGCGCTGCCGGGACTGGACGCAGACGACGTCGTGGATAGCAGCTATGATTTATAAAGCTGAAGTGGTCGCTTGCAATAAATAAGATGCTCAAAATAAATCCAAGCGGAAGAGATCGCGAGCAAAGCTAGTGAAGACATAAATAGACATCCAACACAGATATTACGAGTAAAAATCTCAATGACACAAATGGCGGTGTTGATTCTTACCGAGATATTCTTAAAGAGCGGCAAACTCTTGCACCATTTGACAATCTTGTACAGTCTGTGGTCCGCGATATTACAGAGGTCCGCTAAGAAGTCTGCGCTCGAGTTCTGCGCGGTGATGCCACTCGCAGCCAGGAGGGGATTCGTCGATGGACTACCGCCGGACTTCCCTAACCTGTTCAATTCCGATTCGTTGTACTGCCATAGATGCTCCACGTCCATTATTTCCTGATGAGAGACTCAAATAAGTTACGATAGGCTCATCGGCCTAAGCGCAGCAATGTACTGCTCAATGTAATGTAATCAACGGGTCGTAGGTAAGATCCTCACCGGGTCAAAAACATGTTGGACTTCAATGAAATTTGGATGTTAAAAGGGTAATAAAAATAAAATATCGAAATTCCTTCCGGGTCACGAACCACCGTCCACAGATCCAAAAGCCGTAAAATTTGGTTGCCTATCGGTTTCAGTCTATTGATTTCGTATTGTAAAGCCAAAATAGGTCGATAGCGCATCTTGTTTGGATGTTATATGACTAAGGACCATTTCATCAAGCGAAGCCTATACTGGTCCGTCAAAAAAGCTTTAACAAAATCATATAAAAGTTTAAATAAAACACTTTACGTTTAAAATATAATATTCCGTTTTCTTGTGTTTTATTTAAATGTGTATTACTCGCGTAAACTATAGACAGTATCATATAAAAGTTACTATGATCCTATACTATACCCCATCGCTTACTATGATAAAAAAAAATATTTTATTTATCTGCCCCACCCTACCGAACCGATTATTTTTGTTGCTATTGTGCACAAATATAGTTACCTCCAAGATATATGTATAGAATTTTGTCTACACAAATTGCAAAAGGCTATGTATTGTTTATTTTATGTGGGTTAAACATCTGAGCTTACTTGCAATAATGGCGGAATGTCGGGAGTCAGCCGGCTATTACTGGTCTCCCCTCGACTGCTATACGATCCTGGACCATTAACCTAAAAAAAGGGAGAAAGTGATTTATTTTAACAAAAGGCAAAAGCACTTTAGTAGTTATTGTTGTTTTATTATGCAGAAATACTTACACAAGTTAGACTTGACGCATGGCGCAACGTGGCCGGCGCGTGCGCAGATAATAGTGAGCCGGTAGAAGCTGCACCAGATAGCGAGTACGAACACTGATACGTGGATCTACCCCCGCGAGTACGGTCCTCTCTTATAGCTGTAAATCATTGAAATAGTTAGTCTGTGAACTTTAGATTTTTTTAGATTACTTAAGACTTATGTTGCATGATAGAAAATTTTAATAAGAAAAAAATTAAGATTATATAGTTTCAAAACTAACAATGTGCACTAAAAAAACATTATAACGCCCAAATAACAACTATGACGAAAGAGATGGTGTTAGCGTAGCAGTTTTTACTATGTCATTAGGGCTCTCGATCTTCAATTCCTCCGTGACCACAATTACTAATTAAGCAACCAAAAAGACTGATCGTAGTAGTATTCATTTCCCGTTTAAACCGTTAAAAGTGTTATTTAAATGTGTACTACTCGTGACTCTACAGTAACAGTACTTACAATTTATAGTGTCAAAATGTGTTGTCTTACTTTTAAATAAAAAACTTTAGCTTTCGTTATTCTTAGATTGTTTACTTATATATTATATAGTGTTCAGCATTGAAATAAAATCTATACCTTCTAACTTCATTCCGCAGCTCAAACACTTATCGAAACGGCAAGCTGGACACTTCTTCCTAGTGGCGACGGTAACAGGACAATTACCACCCCTCAAACACATGTAGTTTTTCCGATTTTGCACAGTTCGCTTGAAGAAGCCCTTGCAAGATTCGCACGAGAATATTCCATAGTGGAAACCGCTTATTTTGTCCCCACAAATGGGACATGGACTGGAAAAATAAACACTATTTAACACATATTTTTGTATTGTTCTGTATTGACCGCCTCTGTAGCCAAATGGTTAAATGTATTGCCTAGCATTGCATTAAGAGCGAGAGGTTCTGAGTTCGAATCCCATAAATTTTACAATTACAGTAACATAAAATTGTTTCGGTCGGGCAGGGCACAAAAGTCTGATCAATTATAAAATGATTAGATTATAAATGTTGATTATTTTTAGCCATATATTGCTACCATATCTCTCTTGTTTAAAATATTCTCAGAATAAGAATTTAAATAGTTTTATATTTAAACTATAATTTATTAGTCATATAAGAAACAAAATACCGAATTTTTGCTTAAAACTGCTGCGTCAGATAAAAAACTGACCTATTTATAAGCTGCTGTCGACTGATTCCCTGGTGATGATGAAGACGATCATCAGTCTGCTCTGAGTCTTCATCGTGCGCAGGAGAGGCGGGATATACTGCTGTTTCACGGTATAACACGTGGGGATGCCGGCTCTGAAAATTGATAACACATTTTTAGTTTTAACATATTTTAATCCTATATCTTATATACACGAAATCTGTCGCTATATATACACCTTATACGTATGTATCTGAACTTCGTCAACATGGAAAAAATTATTTAAATCTTAATTGACTTAATCTGTGCAATGTCAATACATTGATTTAATGTTGAGAGGACTGTTTAATCTTTTTGTCCTATGTTGGTAGTATGTAAAATCTTTATGCTTTTGTTTTTCCCGCTCTCTTGCATACGGATAGTTGTAGACAGTATGACGCAATATATAAAAACAGCTTGATCATTTAATTAAATCTCGCCCTTTTATTTCAAAATAACTTCAGACTTGATAATTACAATGTAAATCTTTACGTAATATTGGACGGGCTCTCTGATCTAGTGGTGGCAACGTATGTTTCCAAGTTTTCTGAACATGTTGGTCTTCGTCTGAAAAACTGGATATTATGGGTGGTAGGAATACCGAAATTCCAGGTCATGAACCACCGTCCACAGATAACAAAGCTGTGAACCACAGATAACAAAGCTGTGAAGTTTGGGTTCAGTCTGTGTATTTCCGAACATCTAAAGTCACAATAGGTGCACGGTGCATCTAGTTTAGGTGTCACATGGCTTATCTGTCCGTAAAATAACGTAAAATTATTAGCTAAAATATTCTGGATCAATATTGAGTAACTTTTAGCATATAGCTGACATTACGATACGTTAAATACTTGTAGACAAGTACCCCCTGGGCTTACCTGAACTGGTGAATGTGTGGGAGAGAATTCAGAGCTGTAAGAGTAGCAAGAAGAATGTGATGCGTCACTGTTATTCCTGGAAAGTGATGGTGTATAGTGACGCGAGGGTCGTGGACTCGCTGACGGACTGCTGTAGACACTGTAATACAAAAATTACTTAAATATAACTCTATGCTAGGCCTAGTTTAATGATTACCTAGTAGTACCACCACCCAGGATCATATTAAGCAAGATACGCAGATGGGTTTGAATCTAGAGGAAATATAGTAGTCCGATCATCAAAAATAGGACGACAGCGCATTTTGTATAGATGTTAAATGGCTGAGGTATTTCACTTTTCATGTTAACCACCTGCTTGTCTATATATAAAAAGAAATATTTTTCCAACTAGTAATACCGTAACCGTACGAGTATAACCAATGTTGCTCGCATTTTAAATATTAAAAGAAATTATTTGAAGCTGTAAAATTAAATATTTATATTAAAAATATATTTGTACCACTACTACGGGATTTTATACTTATGTTCGTACTAAGTGCACAGCCACATATTAAAGGTTACTTTCAAATTTCGATTTCCATTGATTTTAAATATTACTTAATATAATTACCTGTGCGTATACATGGAATGTACAGCGGAATCTGTGCTTGCGCTTGACTGCACTCGTGGTAACCTGCCCATGAGCGGAGAGCCATGCGCGCCGAGTAACTTTTCCATTCCGAGGGGCTCGCATTTTAGTTCTGTAATTATATATAAAATATTATTGAAATAAAAAGTTTATCTAAGCTATATCTACTTAAAAGCGTGTAAATTTTACGTCTGCGCCCAATTTAAGCTTCAACTATGAACACATATGTCTGACTTATGTCTGAGCCATGGTCATTTGTCGTGTTCCAGCAGGATTCGAAGACAGGACCTCATGCAATATCGCAGTGAGCATGCAATAACGCAGTGAGCAATATCTCTTTTTGACAAAAAAAGATAGAAAGAGACCACACATACAACTTTAAAGACTTAATCTATATTAAAAGAGAAAATGCATTTTTGATGGTTGTGCATTAAGTGTTTTACATAGGAGTACACGTCGAATAAATAGAAATATTAAATTAATTGTATAATCGGGGTTTGAACCCGCACCCTGCTATACCAATTTGAAAATCGATTAATCTGTAAAGCCTTACCGGACAGCTGGCTTTCCTTCTTAATAGTTAAGTTCTGGACTTCAGTCATTGTATTCTGGATATGTGGCATCGATTGATCGTAGTGGTCTGATAACGCCAAGGATTTGGCACTGCTTGTAGGAGATGAAGGCCTCCGAGCTATTGACAGTGACGTGGTGTCAGTAAGTACTGATATCTGAAAGATGATTGAAATTTATATTAAAAATTATTATTGTATAAAATTAAAGTAGGTCTTATTTTTTTTCTCTTGAGTGATTTCTTAAGGCAAAACTAAGTAACTAAAGACAATTAGTTTTGTCTTTAAGAAGACACTTTTATTGATGTAATTCGTTCATTCGTTGTGGCGATATACATTTATTTATAATAGTATATACTTCAGTGATAGCCCAAAATTGCAGGGAAAAACTCTTGAAAAAGAACAAAAATAAATTTATAAGTACAATACTATAACAGTGAATATATATGAATGAACAGTTCAAAGTATGTAGGTATATCTTCGGCATAAAGAAAACAATTGTCTTCAATTTCAAATGTAAATAAAATAAATTTTGAATAAAAAAAAATCGAAGCCTTCAAAAAATAGAACAGACTTGCAAAGTTAAATTTGACGAAATATATTAATATACAAAAAAGTGGAATACCAAATTTTACTACGCCATGGGGAAATCTTAGCAATGACAAGCTCAGATGCAGCGTAGACTAGTAGAAAGTTATTAATGTAATTCATGCAACCAGTTCTGATATTATAGATAGACCGGCAAACCAGTCTCAAACGTGTTATAGCTTAGACGTTAGAACTGCAGATTAGCATTTTATGAGCATTTAAACTTATAGTATAGACATCTTAGCTTATAACACCATAAATAGTCTTAAATAAATTGCTAAGACATGTATAGCAGAAAGTACATTTCTTCTTTAAAGGAGTTTTAAATATAACAATACATGTAGTATGTATACAAGTAGTAAACCAAACAAGTATAAAGGATGAGAGATTTATTTATAGTTTTTGACTCGCATGGAAAAGATCTTATTAAAAAGATTTCTTACCCCTGGAATAAACTATTTAGAGAGGGAGCAACAAAATGGTCCTTCAAGCCGGACTCAAGTGAAGAAATACCTTCTTAGTTTTACAAAAGTTCTGGTAACTCTCCGTTAATTGTTGAATGACGAATGACGAACAGCAAAAAATAAAGCTAATAAGTATGTATAGCTTAAATTTAATTGAATAGCTTAAACTTATACGACATATACCAATTTCTATAAGAATCTACTAAGAAAAGCCATTATACGGTAAAGCCTTAAAAGCATTAAGACGAGAACTATACACAGATATTAGAAATTTTCCAACTTACCCTATTCATGCTGAGGCTACGTTGGTGTGGCTGGAGAGGAGCGTACTTCAGGTCTAATACCCTCTCATCATCCAAACTCTGAAACGGCTCATTTTTGACCGCTTCTGCCTTAATAGTGACATTCCGAAGAGTATCTATTGAGTCTCTTGATGACTGAAGATCGATAGAATTGCTGTTTTCGTCTGTAAACAAATAGAAGAGGAATAGTATTTGTAAGTTACGCGAGTAGCACACGTTATATACTACAAACAAAACTCTTTTAACGGTTTAAAACGCGATATGTATTAGGTAAACTTATTTACAACATTTTTTAATATTTTGGATGTTTTTTTACATTAATACTAGGTACACCCTCCATCTTTAGTATCCCCATGACCGCAGCTGCTGCAAAGCATCCATGGTTATTAACTAATACATTTCGCGTTTTAAACCGTTAAAAGTGTATTTAAATACAGACGAGAAGTTCACAAACAAATGTTACTCAGCACTAAGATAAAATTACTTAGCTTAGTGTAAAGTAAGTTATTTTTTTATATTATTCCTGAGTTCATTTCATATTCGAATACGATATAATAACAATGCACATGGCCAATCCAATTAATATCTCACCATTATTGACACTGGTGTCTATAACCATTTCGTGGTCAGACAACTCCCCCTCCCAGGACATCGGTCTCTCCTGTTCCACATCACCTCCAACGGAGGAACGCTTCTTTTTATTGCGCATGTTCACCTAAAAACAGTAAGTAAGATTTATATTAACACTATTAAAGTCATTTTAATGTACCCAGTATGTAGTAAAAATAATCACTTCTGAAATTAAAAGTTGGATTTTGTTTGACAGTTTCAGGTAAAAATCTATATTATAATCTAGTAATCTAATAATCTAGTATGGAGAATTAACTATTTCATTACGAAGCAAGAGTACAACTAAAAGTAAATTACATGTTTTTGTCTATATATTGCACATTATCTAAAAAAAAAATTACCGGAATTGATCGCTCTTTAGCGACAAAGCCCTACTCTAGTTAGTGTTTGTATTTACTTTGAGGGAATTTTATTTATTATATAAAGCATGAGCTTTACATTTATGATTAAAACATTTTGGACCTCATGGAGATCGCCCGACCACGAACCGTTAATTATCATGAGCCACACATGACGTAATTGTTGGTGTCGTCGGGAAAAATATATATAAAGGGTTAAATTCTTTTGAATACACAAGAACTCTTACGTTTTTCTTTCCGGCGTTATTCAATAAAAAAAAAACTCTTTGTCATTTAATTACTAGTAATATTTTCTAATGATAAAAAAGGACAGACAAGCATTTGCTTCACTTGATGGTAGGTAAAATACCTCAGCTTAAACAAAATGCACCGTTGGCCTATTTTGGCTTTGGATATTCGGAAATCCACAGATTGAAACCGGAACGTGATTAAAATTCACGGCCTTTTCACCTGTGTTCGTGACGGATTCTCTACATTCCTACCACACATTTACTATCCAGATTTCCAGACGAAGTCCAAAATATTTCAGAAAAATCGAACCCTTGATTATTAACCCTACATTGCTACCATTACACCAATGAGCGCGTCACATGTTCATTCATCTGTTACCTCGTACTGATGTTGACTAAAATCAATCTTCGATATTTCAGCATCAGTCGAATCTTCGTCATGAGGCACCGAAGACACGCTGATACGGACTCCACTCGAACTGTATGAGAATTGCCCTGAAATATAAAAAGCACTTTAAGAATATGAAAATTATTCAGGGGTTGTTGTATGACAGACAAACATGGAGTCATTTGATAGTCGGCTTACGATAAAGATTAATTTTTGTTTTTAACTTATATTTAACGAAGTATAGGAAACGTATTTTGATGATAGTTTTCTTTTTTTAAATAAAACACTTTAACGGTTCAAAACGCGATATATTAGTTAAGCTTATTTGAAAATGATTTTTAACTTTGGCCCGACGTTTCTGATGCTTTGCAGCAGCCGTGGTCACGGCTACAGGCTAAGTTTAACTAAAATAGCCGTTTGCCGTATTAGCCGTTGTCACGGGGAAAGCATCCGAAACGACGGGCCGAAGTTAAAAATCATTCTAAACCGTTAAAGTGTTTTATTTAAATGTGTACTCTCGTGACAAGTTTACTTATTAAATTGAAAATCGATTTTAAGATTGAAAAAAAATTACGACACCGGCGGGACTTGAACCGGCATCCACAGTGTTCCGTGCTGTTGCTCTAATTGAGCTACCGTGTCTTACTAAAAATTGTTTCTAAGCTTCAATCAACAATGGTTCAGAAGAATCAAGTAGTAGTAGCTTATGAATGGAAATATGACCTCAACATAATTATTTAAGTTTTCCTCAAAGAGTCCTAGTAGGATAGTCTTAGATAAGAGATTTTCTTTTTAGATCAAAATTATTTCTTTTCGTTTTTTAAAAATTAATACGCATTTTATCTATAGCGGTAATAGATGGCGTTAGGCGTCGTACATCTATCACTGTTTACTATTTCAAATATCGAATAGGAATAGAAATAGTTTTTTACTACTAGCAATAAGTTATTCTTACCACTACTATTATCTGGCCCCGGCATACTGATAGTAGTCACAGAAATATGTCCACCTTCCACCTTTACTGCTTCTCCCTCACTAGACATCGTGTTTATTGTTCGATCACCATTAACATCACCGATTTGTCAGTTCACAACACTATAGAGCACCGCACTAAAACTTATCGTAAAATATTCGCAATCAAAATCTACGTAGAAAAATATCAAGTTTCAAGATCATCTTGTGTCCCCAGTTAAGGCATCCGAGTGACTCAGTCTTGTTATGGCCCAGTGGTAAGCACAAATGCATGTTTCCTTCCCTCCACCAAAAGGGCTGGATATGTCTGCTGCACCCATGAATTTCATAGTCATCTTGTTATCCTGCAAATAAATTATAATCAATTAATTAAAACTGAAATAATGACTTGAATAATTATTCGAGTATAAATTAACCTCTGAAATGAATAAATTCCATTGTTAAATTCGAAATTTGAAATAAACTCCGCGTGGAAAAGTTCCCGCACTCGATTTCAAAATTGGAATAAAGCTGTCGTTCGGAAACGGTGTTTGTACACATACGACACGCGTAGGGCCGTTCGCGTCGTGTCGCGGCCTTGCCGGCGTACCTAGTGTTGTGCGATAGCGCTCGTACTTATCGATAGAGGCACGACCTCAGTGTCATTGGCATTATGTTTACAACGCGCATGCGACGTTGTGTCGCGATAAAACTGTAGTTTTATTATGTTAAATCGCTTATAAATAATACATCCGTTATGATTAATGAGGCGTAATGGAAATGTTTATTAACCGTCTTTGTTAACTGTTGTTAGATAAAACAATTCTAAAAACGTGATCAGCCGAATTGTTTATCTAAATGGTTTTCGATAAGATAGTGTCGAGTTATCGATATCGGGACAATCACTAGCGATGTAAAGTGGAGTGGGGGGAGTTGAGCGGCCTTCACGAAGCCGGTTGTAGCGGCCGGTCGCTCGGTCGCGATCATTTCGCCTTTCGCGTAGACTGGCCCGCCGCTCCCAATATGAAAACCATTCTTTTGCATCCATTTACTTATTTTAATATAAATATATAGTCATATTTTTGAGGATTGACAAAAAGCTAACTTAAAGAAAAATATCTACAGAATTTAATCGAAGAAATCTAGAGTTCACTGTCTGGTCAACCAATTAATGTGCAATAGCCAATAATCTCTGCTCCCCAGACGTTTCTTGGCTATCGCTATCACGCGGACAACGGTTGCCTTGGCAACTCCGGTAATTGCCAATTACACAATGCACATACATTATCCATTGCAAAAACGTGGTATTAAGAAATCGCTATGTTTACTCGCTTACTTCAAAATAAAAGAATACCCAACCCGAAACGATACGACAAAAAAACAAACAATGCAAGGTCGAAAAACAAGGCAAGTGATAATCAGTATATGCATATATTTTGTGTCGATTAAAGGATTCAAATTTATAATTCATAACAAGATGGCGTCATACATGTGGCCTAGACAAGGCCGAACGGTTTGTATGATACAGCAAGTCTCTTTTGTCTGCCATTCAGAGGCGATGGATATGAACACGAATTATTTTCACTGAATCATACAAAACGTCATATACCTATCGTTTCTTATTTACATTATAAAAAATTTATACCTCTGTTAAATAATATGTTATAGCATCAATTCAAAGCCATAAAATAAACCATCGGGCGTTTCTAACAACATGAAATGAAGAATGTGGAAAAATCATTGCAATGATGGTAAGGATTGCACCAACAGCTTATAGGCCGGACACATTAATTTTTTTTTATTTAAATCGCATATCAAGACGAGGCGACGACCGATTATTATCTTAAGGTCACTCTACTATCTAAATGACGCAAGCATCGTACCATGCATTTTGATAATGAGAACGCTTAGTCAGGTCAGGTGCACAAACGATTCGTTATAACGACAGTGTCGCAAATAATTAGCTATATAAATGAAAATAAAGACAGCAACGACAAATGCCTGACCAATTTTAAGACTAACTAGTTAGTCCAATAGCAATATATGGTTTAGAAGGTATCGTGGTTTCAGCATGATTTAAAATTATCTTAAATGGTGGGTAGAAATATCCTAGTTCAGTCCCAGTCACAGCTATCCAGATGGAAAACTTGAAGAGTAAATCAGCGTTTCTCTGTCTTCGTTGTCTGTCCCCTCCATTATAAAAAGTTAAAGATTGCGCAATAAAAGATCTTTGACTCCGCTTCGTCACAACCGCAACTTCAGGTAATTGATGCGTTGACGTAGGAAGTCAGTAACACTTAGAAAACTTCCCGTGTCCTTGACCCTGATGATTAGAGAGGTCGTTCTAGCGTACATCGCACCCCGTCACCCACGCAGTCACTGAAATAGATGAGGTGAATACACCGAGCATTTACTATGCTACTGTAAATTACGGGACAAAGAACTTCGCTACGTTCAACTCGATAAACTTATCAGACCATACAACACTTAGGTGTTGTATTAAATACACAATAGCGTTTTGTCGAAGACGAAAATGCAAAATAAGCATATTTTCGACACTTTTGGTGGTTTACAACCTTGGTCATAGGGTGACCGTTAACCGTTAAAAGATAAGTGTAGCACTCGCGCCAACTATTTACAATATCTTAATTCTTACATTGTATTACAGGTACATACATATTATAGTATAAAAAGCGAGTTTACTAAAACATGTTACAGGTGTAACACTTATTTGAGTGAAAGACAAGATTTAAGAAATTTTTTACAGTTTAACCTACAACATTTATTTAGCACATTCTTTAAGTCAAATTTGAGAGTATTTAAACTTAAGACATTTTCTTGATTGCTTTTAATGGATCTTCTCAATGAATTAGTCTAGATTTTAAAAGATTTACGTATTAAAAAAAATGCAAAATGTTCAACGACACAATACAGTGCGCTCATTTTCAATTATCAAGCCAGACGACAGCTGACCAAACTCAAAATGTTTGTCGCAAATAAAACGATATTGCTTAATAAAATATGGAACACATTTACTTAATGGCATTTATTTGTTTTAATGCCGCTTGAGGTCGCTACTAACTGCGTCAACGAGGTGTCACGATAAAATCTAGATACGATTCGATTATCGATGTCACAAATCCTGTCACCGCACTAGTTGCACCTAGACCGGTAGTTTTGAATTAAACGTGTGTTTTTATGAATTTTAGCCGAGAAATAGAATGGAACAGATTGTACCACCAAGGTTGATAGAATGTTTGGATTTTCCGCGGAAAGTGAACGTACGCGATATTTTACTGTATGTAATTGTATGTATTGCAAAAATTTAATTACTTTTAGTGAAGGTCAATAGAATATGGTATATATGAATATGGGCACAAAACTTAAATAAGATTGATTTAAAAATATAACTATAAATGTTGACATTAAAATAATATACCATTACAAAAGTCATACAAAAAACCTGGATTTGTTTACATCGGTACTACATAGCTCGTATGTTTATATTTGTAAAACCTTCATTAATCAATGAAAATATAAAACGAAATACTAAATCTTACTGCTAAATCTAATATTGGTAATTTTGAGCATTAACTACAATATGATTAGTTATTTATGAATATAACGAAAACTAATACGAGTATAATGTCGTCAAGTAAATGTTGTACACCTTGGCGTGGACGCAAGAAACGCAATTGCCTCGGAATTGCTGTTGCCCAACGTTCAGTGTGACCTCCTGAAACTCGCATATAAGATTTCCTTTAAGACAGAAGTCAAGCTGACTTCTGTCTTAACACGAAACAATTTTCACTAACTGGCAAATGGTTAAGCTGATCTGCTAAGTACCGAGCGTCGTGTAGCTAAATGGTTAATTGTGTTATCTAGAATTACGTTACGCGAGAGAAGACCGGAGAGAACGAACGCCTGGGTTGGAATCCCGAGGACCCAATAAATAGTTTCGATCGGATAGGTCACCGAAGTCTCATCAACTTGCCGTAAATAAAACCAACCACTGAAACGGACACAGAAATGTGTTCGCCTACGAGGGAAAACGGGATTTCACTTTTAAAAAACCGACACGAATCCGAAAAGAGAAAACAAGTGACATCCTTTTCCACAAATGCATGACTTGGCGTAACAGACACATATCTATTAGAACAATTAGTATTTATACTACATTCTACATAGTATGAAATGTTGTTAGTTCTAAAAGTCCATACAAACATGTGTCTAAACTACTTCTAATAATTTGAATATCTAAATAAGTACTGGCAATTGGCACGTAAGAATTCAATGGTGTGTCCTTAGGCGAACGTATCCAATGAAATGAAATCATGGTTAACGAACAGGTGGCTATAAGGTATGAGTTAAAACAATACCGAAAAGATTTAAAAATCGAAAATAAATTGAAATTTTTTTTTGTTTGCTCTACCACTTGAGCTACCGAGTTGGTAGAGCAACAGCACGGAACGCTGACGATGCCGGTTCAAGAACTGCCCGAGTCGAAAATTTTTTTCAATTTATTTTCGATTTTTAAATTATATGTATAGTGCCTTCATGTGCAATAACATGTAAAAAATATTAAAGTTTTAAATACCGAAAAGAGTAAAAATAATATTACAGTTTTATAAGTGTTTTAAGTCATGACTGACTGGTTAATCGAATGGTAAGTATGTATGCCCAATAAACAACGAGTCATGGGTTTGACGCCCCACGAGTTTTACATGTGTCATTTAGTTTTAAATTCTGGAAAATCAGCATATTATAACCGTCCACATGTGAAAACCGTTTAGTGTAATCGCGTTTCACTGACACCAGTCTGTGGATTTCTGAAAGTTCAAAACCAATACAGGCGTATCTCGTTGAGATGTTAGATGCCCGAAGAGTTCCACTATTTCACAATGTTCTCTTAACGTATCATTTGTAAATTAAAAATCGATTATAAATTTATATAGTGCCATCATGTGGCACGTCTGAAAAATATTTACGCTTTCAAAGTATCAGTTGCGGATAATTCGTAATCAAAAAAAAGCTGACGTAATTCAAAAATAGAATTTCGACCAAGACATTTCGACACGTAATTTTTTCCTCATTTCATCTGAATTTAATAAGTTCAAGAATGGAATGCCGTTGCGATCCGTTTCGAGATTGCATTGAGATTGGTAAATATTTAATTAAATGCAATATGCATTTGTCTCTGTCAATGATTCATGTCTATTCATTAGCCTTGCGGCTTGTCCCCTTACAAAAAGGCGAAAGGAAATTCCTTGAATTTATATAAAACCATTTTAACGGTTTGAAACGTAACCTTTGTTTGTTTACTAATTTATAACTTATTTAAAAACTACAGACAATACTTTATGTACCAGTACGGATGAAATGTTTTAATCGATTTTAACCACGATCCGTTTCAGATGCTTTGCAGCAGCCGTGGTCACGGGGGCCTTCCGTGTGTGTGAGAAAGTGTTTTATTTAAAAGCGATTTTGTTTTATTCTAGGTAATGGATAATGTAGGGTACTTCTGCCTATCGACAATTTCCGTATTCCTATAAAGTCTTATACAAGCATACATCGATAACAACTGCCATTAAACTAGTTCCACCAGCGATTAGGGAAACAATACGATTTCATAACAAGGAAACAACGGTTGCAAGAAAGCTCCTACAAGCTCCACAACCCACGAGCCTCGGATGAAAAGTGATGAGTGGTGGGGGCTTGGTAAATGGGTCGAAGCAACCGCATTCCGCGCCTGCACCGCTGACATCTCAAGGCGAGTTGGCACGACGGAACCATGGAGTACCGTCTGTAATTTACGCGAGTAGTACACATTTAAATAAAATATTTTTTTAACGGTTTAAACCGAGAAATGTATTAAACTTTTTTATGGTGTGTTCCCTAGCTAAAAAGAGTAGATACCAAAAAAACAGCGTACCGGTGACGTTTTCAGTCTCCCCGTGACCTTGGCTGCTGCAAAGCATCGGAAACGT